CCTTTGAAAAGTGTAAATATCTTCCAAAACTTTATCTGATCGTGGTCGAGGCTATGGTGCATTTTATGTATCATCTAGACTATGACGTCACATCGGGGCAGTCTGCTATGGCTTTTCATACTACAGTGTACCAAATCGCAGACACATACGACGTCCAGTCCTTGAAGCAACATGCTCGTACTCAGTTCAGCACCGCTGTCATAGAGCTCGAAGGCTGGGACGAGGCCGAGTTTCCGACCGTAATCCACTCATTATGGTGGAAAATGAAGGTTTTGTCAACGAATTCACAGCGAACGGACCTTTTGCGGTGGAGATAATTTGTTTACAGAGAGAGAAGCTCAACAAGGTTCGTCGCTATCATTGTGACAAGTGTAAGTATGCCTTCGACTTCGGCGATAATAAATTCTTGTCCGAAGGTGCTGATGGGCAATTGCTTTGAGGACCAAGCTACTGCCCGGTGTGCAGAGTAAATGGAGTGCATGTTGCACCTGGAGCGGATGAATAAATCCACTATCAATCGAGAGAGATAAATTGAAGATTCTCAATGCTAGAAGCTAAAATATCTTAGATTAGAACTACACAGTATACGCTGTCTTGATTCTGGGATCCTTAACTGCGAACTTGCTTAATCTACTACCTCCTGTATTGCGATGCAATGTAACGCCAGTAAAATAACTCATTCAAGTCCAAAAGCTATTTATTGGCTTCTTACCGACCCTGTGTGCCTTGAAAGCCTGAAAGCCTCGTGCGGCTGAAGTCTCACTAACCAAGAGCATGCTAGCTGAACTTCCAGTACCACCTCATCAAGCAATCCTCCAACCTGTGTGCCTTACGTGGCTTACAAATTGGACCATGGCGTGGTCCAGAACCCTCAAGATCTATTTTTGCATGCTCAGCTTTTGCCAAGTCTCTGTATATAGTTTTCTCTTGGCGCCCATTTCAACGCATCTTGTCAATTCGCAGCATATCTCCAACACACGCCGAAAATGCCCTTCGACTTTAAAGCCTATGATCAAAAATGCCAGGGTCTTACTCTGGAAGAACTTCAGCGAGAATGGGAGCACTACACCCGCTTAATTTCAGGCGCTGCTACTTCCACTGCCGTATCGGGTTGCGCCATCCCATTGACTCTCGGCGTCTCGACAATCGGCGTCGCAATGGCCGCACCAGCAATCCACAACGCGCGCAAAAAACGTGAAATTATCGAACGTCACCTCAATCGCCTCAACGCAACGGATCATACTCGAAAGCGAGATGTTCTTGGCAGTATGGCTGTCAGCGGGACAATCGGTGTGGTGACTCTCGGTGTTGGAACAATGGGCGCTGATGCTGTAGCTACAGCTGGAGCCGAGCATGGGATTCAATCAATTGTTGCGAACGAGACAGCTATCAAGATCGTTTCGCATGCTGCGCTTGACGGCGCGGGAATGATGGTTGAGCATAGGCATACAGATCATTTGAAGAAGAAGGATGCGAAGAAGGCCTTTCAGAAAGCTGGTGTTTTCCAAGCTGTTCAGGATGCGAAGGCTGCTGAGGCTGGCTATACTGTACAGCAGTATCCGAATGGTGGTCAGTATGTCGTTACTGGCCAATCTCAGGCTCTTCCCATGCCACCTCCGCCTTATAGTGCCGCTGTTGGACTGGCGCCTGTTCAATCTTCTTATCCTTTGACCCCGAATGGGTATCCTGAGGACTTCAAGTCTCAACCAATTGCCCAGCCGGTTACATACTTGGCACCCCAACAGACTGGACCGCAGCAAGCCTACGACTACTCCCAACAGCAACAAGTTCCAATATCCTATGCGCCATCGCGCATGCCATCAGCGAATGGCCAGACTTTTTCACCACCCCAAACTCCGGCGACTCAATATCCTCCACAGCAACAAGCACAGCCGGTCATCGCTTCATACACTCCCGTCCCCACAGCGCAGCCATTCGACATGTCTACAATGCAACAAGCTCTTCCAATGACACTTGCACCTACTGCATCTCATCAACCACCACCTTGGCAGTATGTCCCGATGCCGCCTGCGCAGGAATGTATAGTGCAAAGCCCTTCAGCACAGATTCCCGGAGCACCGCAAGCTGGACATTGCCCACCAGCGGCAGTCGGATACATCCCACCACCACCACCAACTCCTTCCGGGTATGCTCCATCTGTCACAGCTCATCCCCAGCCAACGCCACAGTTTGTTCCTGCAGGTCAAATGTCACCACCCATGGAGTTGTCCAGTGTTATCCAGAGCCCTCAGCAAGTTCTGCAACATACCGGATACCAGCCTCCAACCCAGCCCCAAACTCACATCCAAGCTGGATACCTTACACCCCAATCCTCCAGCAACTACCAAGCTCCTCTAGCCAGTGATCTAAACAGAGGAGACTCAATGATCAGTACCCAATCTTTCACTCCGCAACCATACAACCCGCAGCATTATGGCCCCATCAACCAGCAAGAGCAGGTATATAATGCATCGGCTCTACCAATCACCAGCACACCTATACCTGCTCCTCAAGTCAGACCTCAACCAATGCAGTACCAAATGCCTCCAACCCCTCTCCCAACAGGCTCAACCATGAATGGCTACCAATACGACAACAAAGGTTCCTATTTCCCAGTTGAACCTCAAACTCCACAAGCAACCGGCAGTATCCAGATTGCTTACCAACCTCAATACTACCCGCCTCCATCACCCATGCCAGTGACGCAATAATCGAATTGATGGGTTACAGTAGAAGAACTATAACGATCACATGAGATATGCCTAATTCAACGGGCATCGGGTTAGTTAGGAACTTTTTGTTAGTCAATCAAGTTTTCTCCTCACATCTCCATTTCAATGCTACGTTTCAGCGGGGGAAGAGGGGAAAGTACATAAACAGTTCATGACATAATTCGGCATCGTGCGAGGTTGCGGGGATTATTCATGCAGATCGCGGATATATACCCCAGATTTGCTGTGTCGCGATAGGTGCGCAAACTACCAATGACGATCGCTGTCTTGGCATCGTCGATGGAGAACAACTTGAACCGAGGTGAAAACAACATATAAAACGTCAAACAAATTTGTTTTAGCACAGAATGGGTACAGGATTCACGTCTCATCAAGTCACCATGATGTCTCTGTCGACTGCTGGAATGTCCATGGGCGGCTTCCCGGGAGCCTTGCCTGACTGGAGCAACCTCAATGTCCTCCAGCGCAACACCCTTCCCCCCAGAGCTCACTTTTACTCCTACCCCGATCAAGAATCAGCTCTGTCATTCAATCGAGAACAGAGTCTTTATCACAGTCTGAATGGAACTTGGAAATTCCACTACGATCCAAGTCCTTTTGATGCACCAATTTGGGAGACCGCCAATACTACCTCGTGGGATGACATTGAAGTCCCCGGTATGTGGCAGCTGCAGGGCTATGGGCGTCCCCATTACACCAACATCGACTACCCATTTTCTGTTACCCCGCCCAATGTTTCGTACTCCAACCCAACGGGCTCTTACTGGCGAGAGTTTGAGGTCCCTGAAGACTGGGAAGGCGAACAGATTCGATTGAGGTTTGAGGGCGTAGACAGTGCCTTCCATGTGCGAGTCAATGGAGAAGAGGTCGGCTATGCGCAAGGGAGTCGTAATGCTCACGAGTTTGACATCACGGATTACCTTTCTGCAGAAAAGGCTAATGAACTGGCTGTGCGCGTTTATCAATGGTCTGATGGTACTTATATCGAGGATCAAGATCAGTGGTGGCTCTCTGGTATTTTTCGCGACGTCTATCTCATCCCATTCTCCGAATCGTCCATTGTTGACTATCAGGTTGATTCCGAATTGAGCGACTCTTTTGATGAGGGCTCGTTCAAAGTCAATGTTACTATTCAAGGCAAAGAAGATGATTTGGCCATCAAACTGCTTGCACCAAATGGTACGACGCTCGATGATTGGAAGGGTGCTTCTTCCAAGGTCTACGAGAGGTCAATCTCTGGAGATGATTTCCACATGTGGTCCGCCGAAACTCCCAATCTGTACACCCTCCTCATCACCTTCAACGGACGAACCATCAGCCAAAAGGCCGGTCTCCGTCGCGTGGAAATGAGCGGACCCAATTTCTACGTGAACGGAAAGCCCATAATCATCTACGGTGTCAACAGACACGAGCACTCCCATCTCACAGGCCGCACAATCAATTACGCAGACATGCGAAGAGATCTCATGCTCATGAAGCGCTCCAACATCAACGCCATTCGTGCAGCGCATCAGCCTCACCATCCCGATTTCTTCGATGTCGCTGATGAGCTCGGCTTCTACGTCATTGGAGAAGCCGATCTTGAGTGTCACGGCTTCAGAACCTTTGAAGACACCGAGGAGAAGGCTGCGGAGTGGCTTTCCAACAATCCCGAGTGGGAAGACGCTTATATCGACAGGGCTCGTCAGCTCGTTGAGCGATATAAGAACCATGCTTCAATCATTATCTGGTCACTTGGTAATGAGTGCTTTTATGGCCAGAACCATGCTGCGATGAGCAAGTGGATCCGAGATCGTGACCCAAGCCGGGTCATTCACTACGAGCAGGACCATGAAGCCAATTCGACGGATATGTACAGTCAGATGTATACTACGCCTGATTACGTGCGACAGTGGATCAAGGACCATGGTGATAAGCCTGTTGTTCTCTGCGAGTTCGCCCAGTAAGTCACCTCAATCAAGCACTCGCAATCAAGCTAACCTTTTTCAGTGCTATGGGCAATGGTCCAGGTGGTCTCGTTGAGTACATTGACATGTTCAGAACCGAGCCCCAGTCTCAAGGTGGTCTTGTCTGGGAATGGAGCAACCATGGTATCCTCAAGGAGGAAGAAAATGTCACCTACTACGCCTACGGTGGTGACTTCGGCGATGAACCCAATGATGCCGACTTTATCATGGATGGATTGACCTTGTCTGATCACACGCCCATGCCTTCTCTGAGAGAGTATGCCAAGGTCATCCAACCTGTGTCTGTCAAGCTGGCGAAGAATGGCAGTGCGATGACTGTCGTCAACCACTACGACTTTCTCGATCTCAGTCATCTCGATGCTTCATGGCATCTAGTCGCGGACGGTCTCAAGACTGAGCCTCAGCCTCTTTCTCTTCCCAAGATCGCTGGTGGTGAGAACAGGACTCTGGCGCTCCCTCCCCAGAACAGTACCTGGGGTGGTGAGTCTTGGGTTACTGTCGAGTTCAGACTCAACGAAGACGCTTCCTGGGCGCCAAAGGGTCATCTCATCGCGTGGGACCAACTTCACATTAAGCGACCCACCTCCTCCACCAAGAACACAGCCTCTCTCACCCGCCGGCAAGAACCCTCAGAGTTCGAGCGCAACGGCACAAAACTCACCTACAAGAGCGGCGACGCTACCTTCGGCTTCGATCTTCTCCAAGGAAACGTCACTTGGAACATCGACGGCGTAGACGTCTTCCAACGCGGCCCCGAGCTCTCCTTCTACCGCGCTCTGACCCAGAATGACGCGTCCGGTTCGGGCGATGGACCCTTGTGGGACAAGAATAGGATCTCAATGGTTTATCCACAAATCAGAGACGTTAGTTGGTCCACTGACCAAGATGGCGCCACGGTGCACTACAAGGTCTGGGTTGGGGTCCTGACTCAAGCTTGGGGCATCGAGGCAGACATGGTCTACAAGATCCCCTCCTCAGGACCACAACTTCAGCTGCAAGCTAAGGGCGAGTTCATTGGCAAGAACGAATCCCACACCATTCCCCATATCGGCCTCATGGCTGTTCTGCCCGAGTCCTTCGATGATGTATCCTGGTTCGGTCGCGGTCCCGGCGAAAGCTACAAGGACTCGAAGCAGGCCGGTCGCATCGGACAGTACAGTTCGAGCGTCCCCGACCTATTCACCCACTACGATTATCCTCAGGAGAATGGCAACCGAGAGGACTTGCGCTGGCTGAAGATTGGTAACAAGGATGTTACGCTTGATGCTCGACGAAGCAAGGGTGAGGAATTCAGTTTCACGGCGAGGAGATATATGCCTTTTGATCTTGATGATGCCAAGCACCCGCACGATTTGAAGCCGTTGAACATGACGGTATTACATCTGGACTATGACAATAACGGGCTGGGAAGTGCGACTGTTGCTGTAAGGCCCTTTGAGCAGCATCGTTGTTATATGAAGCCGTTTGACTTTACCTTCGACTTTAATATTGCCTAGCTACATAGGTTCAGTTACTTAAATCTCAAGCAAGAAGTTATTGCTTTATTATATAGTAATACTGACAGCAATATGTCTCACCAAGAGGACCTGCCTCTCACTAAAGTAGCAACAAATGTCTGTGGTACATGGTTTGCCCGACTCTGTGTCACTTGCTACACCCGACCTATGCCTTGTAGCTCTTCTGCGCACCACGACGGTGCATAACCCTTTTTGTGTCGATTGGTAGACCATCTGGGCCCTCGTTCTCGCGACGGCAGTTGACGCCGACTTCATTGCCGCAACGAGCAGGCAGAAGGCAGCAGCCATCGGCACGGAATACTTCCAAGCCGTCACTTCCCTTGCCCAGTGAGACGCAGTCTGGGCCGTCGGGAAATCCGCAGCTGAGTGAGAGGTCAGTAACAGAGACAAAACAACGGTACAAAGTGGAGTCCTACCCATTCTTGGCAAAGACGCCAACGGCGAAAAGAGTTGCGACTAAAGCGAACTGCATTTTATGTTTCTGATGAAAAAAAAATATAAATACACAAGTAAATATGGGACGTTGAAGTTTTATAGAGATCAGAGAATAGCATATTTTAACCCATGGAATAGATACTCTATATATACCTGCGATAGCTTGCATCCGTCGAAAATGGTTATAGTGGCTCTAGACTTGGCTGAAACGTCGCCTGCCTCCGTGCCTGTAGCGAAATTGAAACGTGCAAGGTTTTAGTGCCAAACAAACTTTAACATGTTACCTTACGGAGTAGATGAATAGTCACAATTACCAGCCTGTACCCTAGCATTAATTAGCGTTCCACATCCCTACCCCTGCCATATATGCTGGATGTTTAAACATCAAGGGCCATTTAGCCCGCATCTTTTAGTATCGATTATATATCATTTTTACTTCTTATAGCTGTGACAGGAAGATAGTCTAACGTACCTCTGGGAACTCAAAGAACCCCAGATCCCTGTCCAAGGACAGATTCAACACTGCCATCCGGCGGTCTGTCAATCACAATGTTTGGTATTTTTACCGTGTCGCAAATATCTCCGACCTGGCTCTTAATTAATAGCCGCCCGTGTTTACGGCCTACCTCCGTGCCATCGCTCAGGATAGAATATTCCTTTAAAGAGGTATTTAGATCGGCGATGATGATAATCATTTCTATGTCGTAGATATTGAAATTTATGGCAAGCGATCGACCTGCATCAAAGTAATGGAACATCCAGGGCGTTACGTGAGTGCTGGCGGATGCATGATGTGTAAACGCGACAGCCTACAAGGAATTGCGATCTATCGAATTGAATCCAGCGGTGTTGTAGATGTGCTGGTTATTCTTGAGATTTATAAAAATTAGAAAGGACTATTACTTAATTCATACCTTCTCTTTACTACTTGACTACATCTTCTTTAATAAACACTCTTGAAATAAATCTATATGACTTATATATATACTGCTACAGCCCTACTAAGGTAGCAGTAAGAACGATATAATATATACAATTGAAGGTTGCTTAGATAAGCATATAAGGATAGATCTTGCATTCCTCACTGGAAGTGGTCATTGCCTCGGCAGTGGTTGTGGTGGACTCGACAAGGGTAGAAGAGGTAGTCTCGGTTGAGGTGGCAGCTACAGTGGTGGAAGTGTCCGACGAATACTCAGCAGAGGTGGTAGTCGAGGCCTCAGTGGAAGACGTCTCGGTAGTGACCTCGGCCGTAGTAGTGGTGCCCGAGCTGAACTCAGTAGTTGTCGTGGTCGAGGCCTCGGTCGACACAGCAGTGGTTGACTGGGCCGTTGTGGTGTCGGAGGTGGGCTCAGTGGTTGCGGCAGACTGCAGCTCAGTAGAAGTCTCAGTAGAAGTGGCCGCTCCAGTGGTAGCAGTCGTGTCTGAGGAGACGACGGTGGTAGGGGTAGTAGAGGCCGTAGCAGAGGTCTGGGTTGTAGACTCTGCTGTCGGAGTAGAGCCCTCTGAGGAAGTCGCGGTGGTAGACTGAGCTGTTGTGGCGGTGTCTGAGGTAGGTTCGGTAGACTCGGTGGACTCGATGCTAGAGTTGGCCGTTGTGGTTGTGTCTGACATAGACTCTGTGACAGTGGTAGATTGAGGCTTAGTAGAGGGCTCGGTAGAGGTCTCAGTCGAGGTGACCGCTTCAGTCGTGGTGGTTGTGTCCGAGGGGGACCCAGTAGTGTCAGTAGTAGAGTCCACAGCGGAGGTGTCGGTGGTGGAGTCGGCTACGGTAGTGGTGACCAAGCTAGGCTCCGTACCTGTGGTTGTCGAGACGTCAGTGGAGGTATCGCTAGCAGACTCAATTGCGGTTGTCGTATCTATGTGGGTGGCAGAGCCAGTGGAAGTGGTGTCATGAGCTTCAGCAGAAGTCTCGGTAGAAGACTCAGAGGTAGAAGTGGCTGTGGAGGCTGTGACTGAAGGAGACTCAGTACCATCTGTCACGGCCTTAGTGGTGGTCAGGACTGTATTGGTTGTGTCTGAAGTAGACTCGCCCGCAGTTGTCGTGGTCCCAGCAGAGGTCCCGACGGTGGTGGAGCCATCTGTTGTACTGGTCTCACTCCGCAGAGACTCAGCGCTCGTACCACCAGTGGCACTCGTGGACAAGGTCTCGGTCTTACTTGCAGTACCAGTGGTTGCAGTAGTCAGAGACACGTCAGAGGTTGAAGTGCCAGATGTCTCAACAGAAGTCTCGCTGGAGGTGGATGAGACATCAGTGGAACTCTCAAAGGTCAAAGAAGTGGAACCAGAAGTGGCAGTGGCAGACGATTCAAGAGCTGAGGTCGTCGAAATGGGACGAGGTTTGCATGGCGAAGCGACAGCAGAGCGAAGCGCGAAGGCCACGACGAAGAGCCTTGCAGAAACCATATTGAACGAGTGAAAGAAGGTCGGTGTGCAGAGGGCAGAAAGCCACGCAGTTGGGACAACCTCTACTACACTTTATTCTTCCTATCAAGATACTCTCACCACCACAAGTTCCCCTGTATTAGCAGGGCGACAGTCCGCTAACGCGACTGAAGCTAAGTACAAACTATTGGTTCCAGGATGTCTTGGCGCTTAATCCCCCTGATAAAAACCATGGGGAATAAACGTTTCCCATTGCGATGTCACTAACCGGATCTCTTGACTTTAAATCGGGTATAGCGCTAACTGGGCGCTTGTGTCAATAGTTTGAAACGGTGAGGTTACAATTCCGCTGGACCCGGATCCGACGCCGTGGATTACGACAAACCGTATTTAGAATTAGCATCTTGGCATACAGCTCAAGCTTGAAGTGGTCTTACATCGACCAGTCATGTTACGGGTTGGTGGAAAGAAGCAATTTACTAGAGTTCAGTCGACGAAGATTAGTCCAGGTTAACGCTCAGCTTCGATTGAGCAAAATCACCTCCCGCATTCCTTCGCTTATACCAGCCCAATTCGGAGGTATTATGGAGTCATCAATGAGATGCGCTGTGAAGAGATGCAGCGCTTGCTTCACTGATTGCTCGGTGTAGCCGTAGCAGCAGCCGAACATACCGCTGGTACCCGCAAAGAAAAGGAGTCTGCTTCTGCTGCAGTACGCTTATCGGTTATCTTATCAACCCTTATACGGTAGTTATCAGGGTAGAGCACTTGACTGGACAGGGATCGCTATGCCTTAAACATCTTTCCGTTCCGATTATCAAGGATGGGCCGTTGCCGCCGGCATCAATTCTTCCAAGTCACCGGTACAGCAGAATGAGGATTGCCTCAGGGATTAAAGATTTCATCGCTGAGCCAGGTTAGATTAACCCAACCTCTTGATATAAGTTATCAGCTTCGTTCAATCAGCCACGTTCTATTGTAAGGATGATGTTTGCGAGGGATGTGAGAACAACACACGATGCCGGAGCAAATTGACCGACTCGTTCCTGTGATTGCACGCAGATGGGAATGACCATACAGACGCGTGCGCGGCGGAAAGGAAAGCACTGGCTCTTTCACAATGGCTGTCTCGCCAAACACTGCGAGGTTTGCAATCCTTCGTTCAGCCCTATTGCTTTTCAGCGTACAAGTCGCAAATCAACGGCTTCCTTATTGCATGACTCAGAAAAGGTGTGTCGATATGGAGCTTTCGTGTCGTCTAACCTAGATCACAGGGGCTTGATTAGCGAGATCAGATCGGTCGAATTCCGCGATCTCCACTGCGGCTGGCTTAGAGTGGATATCGCCAGTTGACCGGGAGTGGCTAAGATAAGGACTGGAAATGGCTTCAGAGGCTTGTTCCGAGATCGGATCGACAGGAACAGCATTCCAGAGCTTCAAAAGGCTTTACAACAATTCCAAAAGTCAATCGAGATCGGAAGAGAGTAAGTGTAGAAACGCGCAGGGAAGGGGATTAAACTTGGAGATAGCATCACGGGAATAAGTGCAGGTGTAAGAAAAGCTCGCTTACCTGTGAGTTGAATAGCCCTGGTCAAAACCGTGTTACTCAGCTGCATGGCCATGTACGTAGTACGTAGTACGTACTTGGGTGAACATCCAGTCCTCATTCGCCACTCGCGTCAAGGAGAGGCGTTGGTATTCTCCCAGGTGCTGGCTCAATTTCGAGTCTCGACTCGACCAAAGCACTGCGACTCTAGTTAGATTATAATCTCTCAACTCGTATGAGGGCTAGTGACTTAGTTGTTTTTCTCTTGGTCGACTCTTTGTAGAATGTTTCTGTTCTCGTGGGTTGGCCGAGAATGTTCGATCGAATACCGTATTCTGCACAACTACAATCTGGGTGTTTTACCAGTTTCAAATACAATGAATTGGCACAATCGATAGATTGACCAATTCTCTCGAGTATTTCTTTGTATTTCTCATTTAAGGATCTTTTATCTCAACTAGGCACGTAAATATTCTCTAGTTGTAAGCAATAATCGTGTTCCTCCCGGGTAGCTTTCCCAACGTTAGATGAAGAGGGGTTACCTCGCTTGTTTTACATAAGACGTCCTTCAACAGGAGCCTCCACCAAGCTAAACTCTTTTTTAGACACTCGTAACGCCACGATCCTTCACCTTACAACCAGATCGTTCACTCTCCAATCCCTGACCCTGATGTCCAACCACTTTTCCATATCCAGTAATCCGCCGGCCAATCCCAAATTCCGCACAACCACCTTCGCGGAAATAAACCCCAGCAATCAAATGTTGCTTGGAACTCAACAGCCAACGTCTCGTGGCTTACAATAGTTTAATTGCCAGCAATAACCTTAACTTACCTAGCCAATTGGATTTGCCGGGGCCTTCCTGACCCCTGGTTTCCGGCAGTACGGTAATGGTTATGCGGGTACAGCGATCCGGGTTTCGCGACGAGACTGGACTTGGAGTTGAGGCCTACACGGACGACTTTGTCCGTCGAGAACAAGACCCTTATTCCTCTCAGCTGCTGCAACAGCTTGCTAAGTTTCGATAATCTGTTCAATAGTTCAGGACATGGTCTTTCAGCTGTTAACAAACATCATGAACGATTCCTTTTTCGCAAGTCGGCGTCAAAACATCGTGCCAGACCGACAGTCCGGGAGATCTAGACTCTCGATGAAGGCAAACAGAGCTTTGTGTTCAGCCTCTCCTGAGCCCTATAAGAAAGAGAAAGGATCGTCGCTCTAATCACATCTTCACCACTCAACCTCAACTCCTCATCAAGCAACTTAAAGCAACTTCAAAGCAACAGAATACTTTTGTATCTCTCCCTTTCCAACACCAACCTTCAAGATGCAATACTCCACTCTCATCACTGCTGCTCTGTCAGTCGCCTCTGTTGCCGCTGCCCCCAACAACAAGCTGCCCTGCCGCAGCCTTGAGGAGTGCAACCTGGTCAACATCCCCTCCGGCTCCCTCTGCGGCCTCGTCGGCTACCGCACCAACAACGAGGCCAAGTCCTACGACAGCATCCACAAGGGCAAGCTGACCCTTGACGGCTGCATCAAGGCCTGTGGCACCACCAAGCCCGACTGCAAGTCCATCACCTACGATGATGTCAACGGCATCTGCTACTTCTCCAAGTTCGACATCAAGACCACTGCTGTCCAGCAGAAGCCCACCGGCTACAAGTTCTACGACGCTGGCTGTGGCTTCGCTAACTCCAAGGACGGCGCCATCTGCGGTCGTCAGGGCTGGCGCAACAACGGGGCTGCCACTAGCTACGATAGCGTCCACAAGGGTGCTCTTGACCGCAAGAACTGTGTTGCTGCTTGTGGTACTACCAAGCCTGACTGCAAGGCTGTTGCTTACGATGAGCCCAACGGTATCTGCTATTTCTTCAAGCACACCGGTACTACCATCAACCCCGCTGATGCCGGCAAGGGCTTTGCCTGGTACGATGCTCGCTGCCTCGACTGCCCTGCCATCAAGCTCTAAGTAGGAGACCATCTAGGTCATGTTTATGAGTACGATGACTGGTTGTGTACTCTAGACTGTTCATCTCTCATGGTTAATTCTGGTCTTCTCTTGGAATGCAAAGTGCTCGCTTGAGCATTGTTATGCACGCTATGGTTTAACGGTCTTTACTGTATATAATGAATAGCTATGCTTGATAGTATTATGTCACATGTTACATATAACTCTGTCGATAAACTTTTGTGAAGGCTTGTACAAATGCAAAAAATGAGATATTGCCGGAATCTAACCAGCTGCGTTGGACAAACAGGGAATCGAACCCTGGACCACTCCCAGTGATGAAGCTCAGAGGAGCGAACATGCTAAGGGAGTATTATACCACTAAACCATTCGCCCGTTCATTGTTACTAAGCAATTCAAAATTGGGTACATATAGTCCACGACACTGGAGAAAGGAATCATTGGCAAGAAACAGTACAGTCGATAATTGAAGGACGTATTCAATTATTGAAGATCAAAAGAAAGAAGGCATCTTACCGAGGTCCTCTGTCTCAAGTCGAAGCCCCCCTTGCTCATTGATAAACTCCACAATTTCCCTCAAATCGGTCGGGTTAACAATACGTCGCACCCATCCACTCTGGCCATCATGAATAAAATACTCGCTGTTAATTTCAATAATGAAAATAACCTCGTTGCTGCTGTATCGGGTTCTGAAAAGCGGCTTGACTTCTCCACTAATACCGCAAGCGCTGACAAGATCAGCGACCTCTCCGTCATCCCCCCATTAAGTGGGACTGCTGAAATCTTCGTATTTGGCCGTCCAGCCCGTGGGAGGTTTAACCTATTTGTAATTGGCTACCATTGTGGCAGTATGGTGGACCATAACTTACATTCGTGTTGGTAACAACGACACCATTAACTACCTTTGTCAAGGACATTGTTGTGAATTAATAGAAGCTGAAATGAAGTGCGATGTGGAATGAGAAGTCTGGATCCCAACGTAAACTTTCGAAGGCGAGTGAGTAGGTATAAATTGGTCTGATAACACAGGACATATCCAGCTGAGGAATTTCAGCTCTGTACTAAAGGAATTGGCGTATCCTCCCCGCACGCACGGACGAACGAAGAGCTGATATCAAAACCAATGTTTTAAATGGAATGTAATAGTTTCATGCAAACGTTTCAAGTCGCGTTATGGTTGGCCTGATCGGTAGGTCAGAGAGCGACCGGGGACATTGGCTTGTTGCGTACAGCGATATGAATGCAAGGAGGCAAGAACCCTCAAATCTTAATTAAACCAAAAAATCTGAATGAGTACGCTCAATAACAATAGAGCGTAGTGATACGTTCGGGGGAGCGCAAAGTGCGTACAGGATTGTGTCAACAACATCCTTGTTGGTGATTCCCTCGCTCAGGCCACGCTTCAAACCCCACGCCTCATCCGTCGGGGATACGTCCTCGATCAGACCCGGATAAACCGACGTAATCCGGACAGGGCTGCCATTCAGTTCCTCCACCAAGCCCTGTGTAAAGCCATCCTGGGCTGCCTTGGCCGCTCTAAAGGGCAGCGAGGCGCCTGTCAGTCTTGCATGTGGGAGACCAGACATGGAAACAACGTTATGAATATCCGCATGCGGTCTCTGCTTCAGGAGTGGCAGCAGGTCTTTAGTGAGGATCATAGTGCCTGTGACCGCTGAATTGATCACAGAAACGATCTGCGAATACGTTTGGTTTTGAAAGGCACCGTCTGTGAAATGTGCACCGTTGTTGACTAGTATGTCGATGTCAGGATGGGACGAGGCGATCTGTTCCGCTGCATTGACGACAGATGAAGTGTTCGAGAGGTCGCAGACAATGGTTGCTGCTGATACACCACTTCGGCTTTGAATTATGTCGCGGACTTGCTCCAGCGCTTGTAGAGATCGGCCTAGTAGCAACGGAACTGCTCCTCGGTCCGCGGCCACGATTGCCAGTGCGCGACCAAGACCACGACCTGCACCGGTGATGACGATTTTCTTGCCCTTCATGTCTTGTTCGGAGAATAGAAATTCGGTTTTGTAAGTCGTGTTACCCTTGCTTCCTCTGTTCTGCCAGACAGTGTTGCGATCGATTGTTGCTGGCGGGTGGTATTTATGAATCTAGCTGGGACGACTGGAGGGATACTTTGCGATGATGATACTCTAATTCTCGTAGCGTGCTGACTTTTGTTCCTGTATCATGTCCCAGTAACCACAAGATATACTCATAACTCTGCTTACAAATCACAAAACAGCACAAGGTTATCACATCAGGCCATAGATTATAAATCGCGGGGTCTTTTGGTCTTTCTAAATGCCTGTTCCGCTATCGGCTGCAGAACGCCAAGACTCCGCAATGCGAGATGTCTTTCGCAGGGCGCATGTCCAGGCTTATCGATAGCATAGACAATTATCTATCCTGTACCAGTGCTACGCATCATCATATGTCTTATAACCCCCAGCAGATGCTTGTATCGTCAGAAGATATGGTTCAAGAGAGAGAAAACAGAAGAGTAAATAAGTAATAACGAGTGGCTTAAAAGTGGCTACAAGAGCAACGTCATGAAGCAGCGCCTGCTAATAATCCTAGCATTGTTTATTATTTGAGTGAGGTTCGTAACAATGGCAGCGTAGATGACTTACCGAACAAGGTGAAGATTGCCCATACAGCTCCTGATTGGATCATTTTCGTGGGACAGAATCTGTATACAGTCAGCTCTCGTGAACGTATACCAAGGAGAATAACAACTCACAGAGCCCCAGTCATCTCAAGATACCTTGTCCAATAAGCCCACTGGACCAGATAGACATATCCAAGAAGTAACGTCGCACATACTGCGTTCGCCACCCTCTTGAGAGTAGTCTTGTTCTTGCCCTTCTTGACACCGACCCTCGTCCTGCCATCGCTACTTATCGTCACACCCCAATGCCTACCAGTCTCATAACGTCGACCTTCAATCGGGTATGCCTCACCGTAGCGCTTATACACCGGCACGAAAGCCAGCATGCCAAGAAACATGATGCCCGGTGTACTGGACATGAAGCTCACATGATCGGAGGCGTACTCGCGGGCTTTACTGTCTGAAGGGAGACGATTCCACGTGACGCCAGTGAAAATGGCTGATATGAGGAGCAGTAGCAACTCTGAAATGCTTGTCGCGATCCAGGCGTCTGTGTAGGGAAATTCGACACGGTCGTCGTTGCTACGTTTGATGATGGTCGATTTATCCCAGTCGCGGGGACGCTTGGCGAAAACGATGCAGCGTAGCAACCCGACGATGATAGGATGGAAGCGGGGTCGCGATATAAAAACAGTGAAGATGTGAAGCATGCTCAAAGTGTTGTACGTACTGCCCATCAGGCCAGCAACGATTGCGTTGGCCGTGAGCTGACAGGCGAATGTTATAGTCCATGTGAAAGCGACACTGTTCTTTTTGCGTTTACCAAGCTGACTGCGCGTAATCCAGTGGACAAAAGGCCGGTACGCGAAGAGAGGCACCAGAACGGTGATGATAGCATCCGTAATGGCGAACCACGTGAGAATCTGAGCACCGTTGGGACAGGACCCATCAATTTTACTAGGCGAGACGATCCATTCGAGTGGTATTGGCGGAAGAGGGGCCGAGTACAGGCCTGTATTGACACCGAGGTATGGTACGATGGATGAGCTGTTGAGAGAGGAAATGTTGCCGGCCGCAAAGGCACCGGCTGGTAAAGATGATGATTCGCGTCCAGGCCGCGAGAATAGAATCCCCATGATGGCTGAAGTTGACAGAGAACGAAAGACTGATAGTGGAGACATTAATTACTCAGGGAAGTCGAAGGGATCAGATCATCACAGTCACCAATCGACAAGTAATTTTAGGACGAAAGACGGCCAGGCCGAAACAGGGTAAGTGCTACAATACGGATTCGAATCCCAGCGTTACACGTCTCTGACCCCCTGCTTACAATAATTTTCAGCGAATGGTTCATTCAGATGGGTCTTGCGCTCCCCATAAAACCCGTCAAGTTCATCAATCTGATCTCCTTCCTGACGTGGGCGTCTACTGCGCCGCCATGAAATGCATCTCACCAACGACAATTTCAATCACGTTTCAGCACCTACCACTCCCTCTGATAAATATACAAAATTTGTTTGACTACTGATAATCAGCAGCGGTAACATGAATTGGGATTGTTCAAGTCTCCTTCGGAGGATCCAAACCACGGTCCCGAATAAACGCAGTCCCGAGCAAACACGCTGCAATCAAAGGAACCTGCAAGATAAAAACGCTACGACTGGCCGCCATATACGCGTCTAGAACACCCGGCTTTTGGCGCATTGAGTCCGGCAGGACATACGTTGAGCTGGCAAGATCCTTATACTCTGCTGGTAGCTTGGCGCTTAGACGCGCTTGAAGCACTGCAGCGGAGAAGGCCAGACCACAAGCACCCCCCATGCAGCGATAGAAGTTGCGGTTGGAAATAATGACGGCGCGACGACTCTTTGGGGAGTGAGCTTGTAGGGCGATTAGGGTTGGTTGGAAGATACATCCTACGCCTGTTCCGACGATGAAGAGGACGACGGCGATGACTGCAGGGTGGGTTTGACGATTGAAGATCAATGCAAGACCAGATCCCCTAAACCATGTTAACAGACATTACAAGAGAGGTTTGAAATACTTACAAAGTCCAAACTGCAAAGCCGAACACAATGACCTCGCCATATCGCAATCGACGACTGATATACTGTCCAGAGCCAATCGACCCAAGCATCTGAGCAGCGACCAACGGGGTGTAAATAGCTGCCGACGTCATGGCGTCATATTGGTGTGGGTTTTGAAGGTAGAGAGGTACGTAGTAGAGAAAGGATTGATACACAGCGCCAAAAAAGAAGTTCTGGGCCAGCATGATGGAGAGAGTAATGTTGCCGTAAATGTTTACTAAGAAGGGTCAGTAAGCAAGGCGGTATCATTTGTTTAACCAAGACCACGTACCTGGCATCATGGGAAGCTTGGCCATCTTCCACTCCCATATAACAAAGACGACGAACAATGCACCGCCGACAGTAAGGAAGCTGATCGACAGAGGCGAGTCCCAAGAAAAATACGAGCCACCTAAACATTCAAAATTAGATACTGCACATAGAGCAAGAGCAGAGAAGACTTGCCTCCAGAAATAGGAATCAAGAGAAGGATGATACCCGCGCCTGACACAAACGTCCCCATCCAATCAATCTTGAAAATTCCCTCCCAGAAGCCAACAGTTGCAGGCTTGGATGGAAGGAAGAAGTAGGCGAGTACGCCCGCACAAAACGACATAGGCGAAAGTAACCAGAAGAATGCTCTCCACGACGTCTGACGCATCATCCCAGCGGCAATGAAGGGACCAACAACGTTACCCAACCCAACTGTAGCTCCGATGACACCCTGAATCTTACCTCTCTGCTCCAGGGTAACGATATCAGAGATAATAATGTTGGAAAGATTCTGAACGCCGCCACCGCCGATACCAGCAACAGCTCGGAATACATAAAACATAATTGCATTCTTACTCAGCGAGCATAACAAGTCAGCAACGCAAAGCAGCAAAATGGCTGAAACGAAAACGACTTTGCGGCCAAAGACGTCAGATAGTCTGCCGTAGAGCATCTGGAAACACGTATTGGCGACTAGACTCGACGTTCCAGCCCAAGAAATGGTGTTCTCGGCGCTAAGATCGTGCGCGATGGTGGGAAGCATGACGGAAATTCCATTCTGGTCGATGATGGTGAGCAGTAGCGAGGATGATAGGGTTGCGAGGGCGATGATGAGTTGGCGACGTGGGAGGAGGTTGGTTTGGTCCTGAAGAGCCTTCTCGTCCTTGGTGAGAACTTGGGGAGCCATGACTCAATATGTCGCGTCGTTCGTCACGACACAAGGCATGTAAGATATCTGATGTGAATAGATATGAGAGCACCGGTCTCTTAGCGATCTTATAGAGAGATCCGGTGTTTTGGTTGAGTCATAGTGACTGATCTCCAGATCTGCATTCAAGGGTTGAGATGATGATGTTCGTGGCCGGCACCGGAGTGGGTCCGGGATTTGTCCGCGGATTTCCTCCGAAAACACTTTATCAGCCAATCCGATGCACTGTCCTCGTCATCAAGATCTCTTTCCCTCCTCTGTATTTATTCAGATAGTCTCAATGTCTCTTTACATTCCTCAACTGCCAAATGGCCTCATCAGTAAACGCGGGCGGAACTCTTCCCTTGCCACATAACGGCAACCCAGCTATGTTCGATAACCGAGTATACCATCGCAACAGCTCACCGTCTTCAATGGATACCTCATGGAATTCCATCCCATTGTTGCTCGTGTAGTCCTCCCACAATGCCTCCCATTCTTCCTGCGAAGAAAGATCTGTAGCGTTTCTTCCTGCAAAGACTCTTGCGAGTGCGATTGCTTGATACTCGTAACTGCGGAAGGCGAGGGTCTTTCCTAGACCGATGATACCGAGAGTGGGGAAATCTTTGAAGAAGGTGTGTAAATAACTTCCGTTGAGCTTCGACTTACTGTAGTCATATAGCTCTTGTCTATCTGAGTTGGTGTTCCAGAATGGGAAGGACGGTTTATATCCTGTGCAGTAAATGATGTGATCGATCCCCGATAGGGAAGAGCCATCTTCGAAAAGGATCTGTCCTGTTTCCAAAATGAATTCTTCGATGACAGGTTTCCAATTGATACTTTTCACTGATTCGGGCGCATCCCATATGGTCCTGTGTCTTCTGGAAATATACACTGGCGATTGGGCGACTTTCACCAAATCATGGGCAATATCCCGACCTGAAAGAGAGTTTCCCACGATGAGTACCTTCTTGTTGTTGAAAGGGTCAGGATATCGATAGGATTCCGAGTGTGAAACACTACCCGGGTATCTTTCCATGTATTTCTCAAGCCCCTTCACTTGCGGAACCTAATCTCGTCGGCGATGAGCTGTCACGGCGATAGAGAACACGTACATATGGAACAGAATGCTGCCCATTAGCAATGATAACAGCTTCAAATATCTCTTGCCACCATTCGTCAACACCTTCCTCGAGGTTATACCTTCGCAGTGTAAGTTGCCAGCCATCCTGTTCGGTGCTATCAGAGATCCTGCTGAGATCTTCCACGGTGGTATTGAGAACTAGTAAATCTTCCATTTGATGAAGAGAATAGTAGTCCTGGAGGTAACGTAGTGGAACGTGGTGGGGTACGAATGGACCATAGGGAAACCTCTTATCAGAGAACGACATTGCTATCTCAGGAACAGTTGTTCTTTTCCTCATTAGACTCACTCACGGATAGATCTGATGCAGGCAACGTACGTCAGAGACTCATACATGGGAGTAGAATGGTAACTCTGTTTTCTATCATGAGGCTGCTTTCGCGGCAAGCTAGCGGGGATATTTGAAGGAGGGTCCAATGCGGGCGGAAGGGCACCAGGCTTGATACTGGAACCCGACGTATCTTCCTTATCATACAGCCTAGAGATCGAGAAAGGGGTCAATGTATCGTCTCAGATTGACCGCCTAAACTTACCATAGCCCACCAGGCGCTTCCCTCCTCTCGAAGACCTTAATCGTATCGAAGCATCCTTCCGCTTTCAGTGCGGCAGCAGCAGCGGTTCCTGATAAAGTTAGCCAGTAAGCCCTTTTCCTGGAAGACTTGCGAGGTCTACCTGATGCGCCAGCCCCGATAACAGCAACAGACTTTACCTGGGGTTCTGTGACCATCTTAGAGTTACTTGATGAGTTTCAGGGAGTTGAAAAGTTTTCCTTTTCCACATTACTGGATCAGTGGAGTGATAACAGGTCATGTGATAACGTTCTATTTACTTCCATGAGTGGGGATACGGTCTGATCATTACATTTGTCCTGGACCGTGATATTTGGCATCTTTGAGCGTAGCACAAAGTGTGTGTTGAAATATTCAGTAAAGAGACAAATATGGAAGAGATATTTACGTCTGTATTTAGTCTTATCGTCGATTCACAGTTAAATAACCCTGAAAGTCTAGCCTCCATCCATTGAGAGAACCATGTTGTTGCAAGGAACACTCAACCCACTAAGGGTCACAGTTACAGTAGTAAGAGTCCCCTATCATCCAGTTAGTGACTATGACTCTTCAGATATCATCTCTTGATAAGACTTACCTTCCTGGCTACATGCCTCCCTCCAGTTATCCTCATTGCCAGCAGCACCCATCTGCTTGAGAGATTCGATGCAGTCATCACAGTTGTTGATAGCCATGCAGTAGCCAGCACAGTACTGCTGGTTTCTGGTCGTGCAGCCTGTGTGGCATGGAGAGCCTGCTCCTCCAGCTGGATTGCCAGAACATTCAGCCCAGCACAAGGCGTTGGTTTTGCTGACACATGACGAATAACCGCCTCCCTGACAGTTGGGGTTCTCTCCTACTCCAAGTGGTGCCTGGCACTTTCCGGCTAGGGTGGCTGGTGCTGAGGCAGCGAGGAGGAAGGTAACGAGAGTCTATTGTTGTCAGTTGGTTCCGGATGAAGATATCTGGATCATGTGAAAGCATACCCAGGCAGAATGCATGTTGATCAATTTACTTGTTGTGAGCTAGTAGAGAAGCTTTACTGGTGAGAATGAGTGAGAAATCTGGAAGCTGAAGAAAACATCGATACTTATATATACTGGCTTGATTATATTTCAACTGCCGAAAACTGAAGTTCCCGAGGCAAGTTCCTGGATCCATCAAGTGACATCACCGTAAGCCGGACTGAATCCTTCATCTCGTAGTTAACGCAGTGAAACCCAGTTCAACTGTTGTTTAAAGGTAATGCCAAGTTTAATTGTGGATCGAAGGATTCTCAGCTAGGCACAAAATTGACGATGTATTCTAGCGCTCCAGGATTAGCGTCAGCCTGGCTCAGCTTACCGTCTTGGCCGACGTCGAATCGCGAGATCGGGAGCAGGAGTTCTCCTCATCTTATCTTGATAATCTGGGTCTCCAGAGAATTAACGGGCTATGGTTGGGTGTGAAAGTTCTGGGGGCTCTTTGCAATACCTGATTTACGGCTCGGGACGTTCGTATCTAACATACGATGTGTCAATCGCGCTGAGACGGCCTCAATGTGTCCCTCCGACGGCCCGTTCCAAGCGCCCGACTTGGATTTCTTTAATAGCACCGACCTGCCTTGTCGATGAGTTGTACTTTTTCTGCGACCGCACATGCTCAGCCATTCATTCAGATACCATGGTTCCGCTTGTCATATAGGTGCATTTTGAGAGGATCAATAGTAACAGGTGCTCATCCTGCCAGACAATTCTTCTCCTTGCAATAGAACCCTAAGCAAGGGACAAATAAGACACTGGTGTCAAAATGTCGGTGAGACTTTAATAGGACGTTATTGGCACTTATTCTGCCCTTCTGGGCGTGGAAGCTGGAAGGAAGCGTGCCGAGCTGGAGGAGGAAAATATTACTCACAATATCAGGCGACGGGTATGATTCAACAGATGTCTTGAGATACATATGGAAATATCAACCAGTGGTTTGCCAGACGGCGTGGTGCCGGGTACCATTACCCTGCTTGGAGCCTTCCTGGCCACTGGCTTGTTATTGACTGATGCAATAGACTGATCCTGGTTACAATCAGTGTACAAACTTTGTCTCTGCCGTTACATCTATCGGGGACACTGGCCCTTGTCTCAGTCTACAATCAACCTGTACTAGTTTGCGATATATGGACTCTGTCGACAGTGCGGCTTAGGAGTCTAGATCGACGCCTCCATGAACTATTGAATCGAGAACCATCTCATGATGTTTCAATGTAACGGTAATATTTGCCTCTTATTTAATTACAAAAGATAGAGAGTCTTCCGAGATCTTCCTGCAGTTTCTTGCAATTTCTAGCAGTATTATTCTCATATCTTAAATAAAGCAAACCTCTTCATCATGGTTAGGCTAGCGTTTCTTACTTGGCTGGTAGCTGCCACCCCTGCATTTACTGCGCCCAGCGCTGCAATTAGTTCGCTCAGCGAGCGAGCTTGCACCACGCCCGCTAATTCACTTAAAACCCCGAATTTTGAGTCCACTCCTTACAGCAAGGACGCCCCATGATATGGTTTTTTGTTCACACTAATTTATTTTAGCACCTTGGGAGTTCAAGCCTACGTACGCTAAACAGGGTACGGCATCAATTGTCACGGGCGGTTACAAGAGCTCTCATGCCATTCAATTCGGCGCGACATCAGGTTATCAGGATCCCACAAGCTACAATAAATTCTTCCAAACTTTCAAGATCTGTAAGGCCTCTCGCTTCCAGCTTTCTTGGTCGATGCTCCTTCCCAAGAATGGAGCTTAGTACACAGCGCCGTACAAGCCTGGAGTCTTCGTTCAAGCGAAAGCTCCAGATGGTCTCTGGTATCAGATGGGATCTTTCTCTATTGAGACCACCTCTTTCAGCAGCACCATCTTTACGCCAAACTACAAAGGTACTCACCAGGTTGATCAGTGGGCGAACTTTGTTGCAGACTTTCCGAATTCGCAGACTGGTACTTGGACTATTTCAATGGAGTGGTACCTGAATGGTCCACCTGCTGCAGGCGGCAAGACATCGACGCTGAGACTGAAGGTGGATAACTTTGCTGTGAAGCCCAAATGATCTAGCGAGGTGTCATTACAATGTTTATCTCGAGAAACTTTAGTCATGTTGGAAGGATAGCTTGAGTATCAAGATCAAGGATGAGAATGGTATGTATGGCATTAAGATCATCTGAAAGTGGCCTTTGGAAGTTGCGGAGATTGATATACTCTACCGAATACCATCTTTGCTGAGTACTTAATTCCTTGCTCTGATGACAAAGATTTCCATCACGATTTATGTTCGGGTTTCTTTCCGCAGCTCTCCTCAAAAAGCGGGGTCTTAAAATAACATCATCACTGATATCCAACATTCAGGGCATCTATTAGCTGAATAAATCCATCAAAATGTCTACTAAGCACTCATTCGACTCACTTCCACTTCGTAAAGATGGTCCTGATGGCAACGCCTGGGGCCTTTTCGGCGACAAGGACGAATGCGGCATGCTCAACCTGTTGACTCCCGACATTGTTGCAAAAGCTGCTTCGGAGATCCGTGATGGCGTCCGAGTTTCTACAGATTGGCCTCTCAATCGTATGTCACGACCTTGCTTTGGCCGTGCTCCATTCAAGCATGAGATCACTACAAAGACCCCTCGGGCAGTAAACGACGATACTTTGACATTCAATACACAAAGCAGTTCGCAGTGGGATGGCTTTCGACATTATGCGTATCAGAAGGAAAAGCTCTGGTTCAACGGGAAGACTCTTGATGAGTTGTTGTCAACGGATGTCAATGGAATTCAAGGTACGTTGTCTGTTCCAGGAAGACGATTGCGAGCTAATTGACGCAGCGTGGGTTGAGCGTGGTGGTATCGTTGGGCGTGGAGTTCTCCTTGACTATGCATCATGGGCAGATAGCAACAACGTCGCCTTGACCCCCTTCGATACAAAGTCAATCACAGTCGAAACCTTGAAGAAGGTTGCAGAAAGCCAAGGAACAATTATTCAACAAGGCGACATACTCTTCATCCGAACAGGGTGGGTTCGAGCCTACGACAGGCTTACAGACGAGGAGTGCAAGGCCTTGGCAGATCACAAGGTCCCGCCGGCCCATGGCGTCGAGTCTTCTGAAGACACTCTTCGATGGCTCTGGGACCAGGGCTTTGCGGCTGTTGCGGGTGATCAACCTAGTATGGAGGCATGGCCTTGTCAGAATACGGATTTCTTTTTACATGAATGGCTTTTAGCAGGTTGGGGAATGCCAATTGGAGAGCTATTTGATCTGGAGGTATTAAGTAAAGAGTGTGAAAAGAGAAAGAGGTGGTCATTCTTTTTCACGAGTATGCCACTCAAGGTGAGTTCTGACGCCTTGTATCTTACCTTTGAAACTGATCGAATTATGCTTGCAGGTCCCTGGAGGCGTGGCGAGTCCACCGAATGGCGTAGCGATCTTTTGATCAACAGACTCAGATCTAAGGACATCTGCCGCAGCCGACAGTTTCTTTACAGCTTTATCACATAGCCCGAATTGAGTCCCATCCCCAAAATTAAGCAACCGATACAGTTCTCCAATTCCCATTAATGAATCTCAGCACCTCGGGAACTCATGATCATATACATCAAATAAAGCACGGCATTAATCCCAATTGACAACTTCAACGTCATTCGGTTCGGCGAAATCTGTCGACCCTTCAAAATCTACAAAGTCTCCGGAGTGGCCCGCAGGTTACTTCTGTAACCGGTGTTGGTTCAAGGTTATATTACATATTCTGAGATCGATGTAGCTGCTGTTCCGAATGCTCCCGCTTTCCAATTAAGATACAAAATGTTAAATGCTTCTCCACTTCGTCCTGAAATCATCAATTAACGTTTATCTGTATCTACTGGACTATCAAAAGTGGAACAGATGAGCACTTGGGATGGTACGAGGTGATGTTCGAGGAGGAGATACAATTGACTGGTACTGATCCTGACAATCCACTTATCCGTCAGGCTTGAGTTTCTTGTTAAGACAAGTCCTGCGAAGGCTGTAGATACTTTTGTCTCGACTTCGGTAGTTGAAACAGGAGCAACTTCCGGCATGACTTTGTGAAAGAATCATAGCTCATATTGCACAATTGGCATTTAACTGTTTCCCGGCTATCCTAAATATTAGGCCATTTGGTAATACGACGGTTAATGCTGGTCTTCAGCGTTCTTTGTTAATTAAAAGTGGATCTAGATTCATGTTCCCTTTGCCTTTCTACAAAAGATAATACTTAGAACAAATACTTCACTGTATTTAATCCTTGAAGTCGGGCTACTCCCAGAAAGCTTGTGCATTCTGCTAGCAACTTCCTTCACATCATCCTCCATATCATGGAACCATAGCGAGTTGAGTCTTCCATTCAATTTGAGGGAAAGTCCTGTCAAGATGTGAAGATGGAGATGCAGAAAACGCAGTTGTTTTGAAACCAGCCTTGTAAACCCCTGCTGTGTTCTCTTTCCTCTTTGTCTTTGAAATTCATTCCCACACGTACTGAAGATCGTTGGTTATGTGGAGCCGACGGAGTCATCGGTTGACTCGCTAAGCAGTTGCATTTATATCCGATTGGTGGGTGTTGCTTCCCTGACCCACCTGAAGTGGATTGCCTGTAACGCGATGAACATGAACAGCGTGTCGCGTCACCCATCACAACAACAGACATACAGAGTCACTATTGATTCAATTGTAAAAATGTACTGTATATAAATGATTCAGACGGGCGCTTGTTAGGCATTGATTACTGAGGTGTAGGTGTTCAAGTGACGCAAGCAGCTAAGCATGATTGGTGAAGCCCCGGTCTCAACATCCTGTTGACTATGTGGTGTTAACAATCTCGTACTTAGCCAGCCGACAACAAGCCCATCAAAATGCAAAAAAAGATAAAATTCAAAAGAGTGTAGAACATATACGTGCAAATCAGCTTCCATTTTATGTATCTATAATAAGTTCCAGGTGTACCAAGCATTGCTACTCTTGATAATAAGCTTCGCAATGATAGTCTAGGGTATGCTTAACGTTATTCAGTGGACTGCCCTTACCAAAAGCGGACACTGACATCTTATCTGGGCTGGACTAATCAATGACGTCAAAGTTCCGTATCATGTGCCTAACTCTGTCGTAAGCTTGTTTCTGATCGTGTGTTACAGTTACAAAAAGGCTGGGTCTCTCTCTTTTCCCCCTCTTTCTTCTGCCAAGCTCTTCTTATCAAAAACTACCCGTCAACATGTTTAACAACGCTGTCATTTCCTTCCTCCAACTCTGGCTTGCGACGCTTGCCTTTGCTGCTCCCATCGCTAATGATGCCATCAGCGCGAGCGCTGCTAAGCCCTGGCATTATGGTACCGGCGGTGGAATTGTCGGATTCATTGTCTTGGTCCTTGATATCCTTGTCTGGAGTAAGTCCTCACTCACCCTCTACTATGGTTGATCAATTGCTGACGACGTTGCACAGTCGAGGTCCTCCAGTCGAACCGCCCCGTTTCCCACAAGATCCTCTGGTGTCTCGTCGTCTTCCTCTTCCCCATTGTCGGAATGATCATCTACTACCTGTTCTCGAACCGCCAAGCTCACATGCGAAGCGGCGGCTACGACCCGATCCCCTAAGTTGGTCCAATCAACACGACAAGAGGAATATGGCTATGTTGCGACACGACCTAATGTCATGCTGCAAGTGATGGGGAATTGGATTCTAGGAGTTCAGAAGCATACGAATGGGAACCAGCCATTGTCTTTTTTAGTTATGAATTGACGAAGTAATTAACGCTATCGAATGCCGCTCTCGTTCCAGTAATACTCCTTAATGTTGTCACGGGCGCGTCGTTCCATTTCTCGCCGTTCCCAATATCCAGTGGAATAAATTATGTGATGATTTCTCGTAACCTTTGTATTTATTCCGCCATCTTTAATCCCGCTCTAGGAGGCCTCTGGTCTAAGCGCCACGGAGAGGCTGGGATCATACCGTGGGCTGGATAACTGAAACATGGTAATGACGACGTATCTCAACCAACCGGCTAGAGCTTGGGCCGAAGCGGGTAAACAAACCCTCCGCTCAATCGAAGACGTCACTGCACATCGGTAGATAAGACGCGCCGCGCCGTCTCCCATCAGACACTAGGACTACCCGTGGGGAAATAGCATCTTGATAAGAAACCATAAATATCTTAATGAGGACTGCTGCATATTACAGATTAATTACACACAATAGTCTCATCACCAAGTCATGTCTAAAATCGAAGAGTCAATAATTATTTTAGCGCGCCCAGCTCAAGTCTGGAGCTTTCTCATGGACCTTAAATCCTGGCCTCAATGGAACACATTTGTCACGTCCATAGAAGTGCAACCACCTCATGCTCAATTGTCCGTCGGCAGTAAGCAGACAATTACTCTCAACAATAGTAACATATACAAATACAACCTCCGTTGTTAATCCAGGGAAAGAACTTCGCTGGAATGGAAGCATTTTGACACCAGCCCTTTTCGATACTGAGTATTGGTGTTTGTTGGAAGAGGTCGAGGGCGAAGACATCTCGACACGGTTTCTACAAGGAGAGCGATTCTCTGGCATATTGGCGCCTATTATGGCAACAATGGGGGGTTGGAGGAGTTGAGGGAAGGCTACATAAGAATGAACCAGGACTTGAAGCAGGCGGTCGAGGGTACTACCAGAACCGAGGTCTCATAAAATTGCAAGTTGGATTGAAGGCGGTTAACAACCCCGGGGAACCCTATCAGATATATATGGTACTATTCTGCAACTTAGTAACGCGCAGTCGGCTTGAACCCTCCTTTGGGAAGAGGCACAATATTCTCTTCATCTGTATGCTTCACCCGTCCCATCGAAATCGAAAAGTTCTCTTGGTCAAAGATGCTGTACACGTTACGCAAGAAAGGATCACCGAAGATGGATACACTGTCGCCTCGGGATTGAGCAAAGACTCCACAGGTGCCGTCAGGAAATTTCGATACCATGCCGTGAAAGGGAACCGTGATCTTTCCATGAGTCCCGAACTCAACGACAACATAACCGTCAGAGCGCTTGGGGTTGGCATACTTGCAGTCAACGGCAAAGTACTGCTGGCCCCATCCAGGTGCCTCGGTCAAACCAAAGGCACGGTAGAGAGGAGCCATGGTCTTGTCGGTCAAGTACCAGCTTGCGACGCCTGTATCCAACAGAACGGGAACGCCGAGGCCTTTATCCCCGTAAGTCTCTCGCGTGTGGTTGTTGTCTTTGCCGACGAAGACGTCGACGGAAGTAACATTGACAGAGTTCGTCTGGCCGAGACTGAGCTTGACATGGAATGGGTCTACCATAGGCACGGTGATGAGGTCGCCGTCAATCTTTGCTTTATCGTAGGCGCCACCGAGCAGCATCTTGGCATTGGCAGCCTCCTTGTCGTCGGGTCCAAGGTAAATACTTGAAGCCAAGTAGTTGATCTTGGAGGCACGCTTGAGCTCAGGCATCGCGTAAGCGGAAGCCCTGTCAGTGCATTTGGGGCCTGCGTAGGAACACTCCAACGACAAACCTATTGATCATTTGTTAGCGTTTTCACTGTCTGGTGGGCTCCATATCGAGTTTCTTACCAAGAATCGTATAGGCATCACCTCTGACTTTGTCTGGGAAGCTGTATTCTGAAGTGTAGCCAAAGTACAAGTCCTTGACAGATACGCCGCCTAAGGAAACAGTATCGCTCAGATAGTCGCCCATTCCAACGGAGCCCAAGGCATCTTGAAAGCCATGACCTCGATAGCGACTTGTTCTACATCGAAAGTCAGCGGCTGAAATGGGAGAATATTTAGATGATACATACGAGGATGTCTTGTTATTGAAAGTTCCGAATGTACTGCACGGCTTTTCCTTTTTTTGGCAGACTTCATTGCGAGGGTCCATGAAAGAGTATCGTGGGCTGCCAGTATCGATCTTGAGATACTCTGTTTGTGGTGGCGTGCCAACCTGGAGCTTGGCGAAATACGCGGTGAGGCCCTCATCGCGAGATAACGGGACAGCGATGACCCCAGCAGGAGTCTTGGCCGCGGTAGCAAAGCCAGGCAGAGCAACAGCTGCAGCGGCGGCGGCGAGAGTGAGACTAAGCATATTGATGATGTTGGCGATATCTCAATTCCAAGCGTGGACGGCGAGTCAAATTGAAGGGGACAGACTGGATATATATAAGTTAAACGACCCCCAACTCTAATGTGACCTTGAATGAAGTCATGAGGTCGCGATACGAGCTTCTTTACGGGGTCCGTTCCTAATCTACCGGTCCCGCTATCGTCTGATTGGTGCGCGACTCGTCTTTGGGAGATTAAAATCGTATGCAAACCCCGGCAATTCTTCCATTCTTGCACAGAGAGTCATAGCGTCTGTTCATAGCTCACTTGGCGCTTGGCAAGCCGTCTGTATGAAATGTCCACGATTTAACCGATTTAGTCAATACTGAAGTCTGACATTCTTTAGAATACTTCAATCAGCAATAAATACCGTCACTCTCGCTAAATCAGTCATAGCGACCAATAGTAACATCAGCTATATATGAGCTGTTAATCACTCAACTGGCCGGCAGCCTTGTAGGGCCTCGTGCTAAAACGTTCTAAAGTACAGGGTCATTCGCATCCTTATCAACATGATGAACACGAACATGTCTGTGATCTCGTTAGTTAGAATAGATATATGGGCCTGGGCCTTGGAGTTCTCACCGTTGCAAATTGTTCGGTCTTGGGTATTTGTGCTCTAAGTCTGGGCAGAAAGGACGTATATAGCCAGGGCTGTCATGCACTAAGCCATGTCGAATCATTGTTTGTTCTTTCTTTTGAAAGCCTTCCCTCCCTCGGACATTGGACATCCCACATTAGGGCAGAAGTATGGCCGATCACCTGAGTGTACGTTTAAATGGGAGTCAAGAAGGTACTGAGTTTGGCAGGGTCTGTTTACACACCCGGGGTATGAGCATGTATATCCATCACCCAAAATAGAACTTATTTGTAACATCCCATTATTCGTAGAGCTATTGAAACCTTGTTTGGATATTTGAAATAAACCAGTAATTCCTCATTTGATGAATGAGACACCAGTCTTTCAAATCCATCCCCCTCTTTGCCATTGTTTGATTTGGTTCGGCTTCATACGGAAGTCTTTCACCTCTAAACCCCGGGTTCCATAGTGCGGCTTAACAGACTCCCATTAGTAGAGATTCCATAGAGGTATTGAGTCATAGGAGAATGAAACCACGGACCAGGTCAGCCACCTCTTCAATGTCTGTTTCATCATCAGATCCATCTGGTGTCAGGTTTCAATTAAGGGTGCACGGGCTGGAGCAGAGGCGAGCTATGCGGTATAGTAGACTTTCCGGATCGAAGTAGTCACTGAATATTATTGTAGCGTCAATGCGTTTGTAAACAGATGTGACTGATCATGACGGTAACTAAGGAGGAATTAGCAATACATGAAGAAATTATTAACAGCCAACATTAGGTACAAATCTGTGGCTCTCTTACTAATTAAAATCGCTGTTTTTACAATCCTCTGTCTTTTCGGCAATTGTTAGCTTGTTAACGAACGCCAGCCAAGGCAAGGTGTTCGGGGCTACAGCGGCGTAAGTAAACAGTTTAAGTCTTAGACCCAGGTGAATTAGCAGAACAGATATGCAGCTGTATTAGTTGTCTTTGTTAGCGGAGACTTAAGGAGTTAGGATAGGATAAGTGACCAGGAAATGCCTTGGATATAGTAGCAGGTAAGAGAAGGCTATTTATCTACTACCCCCTCAATAAGAAAGGAGGCGTCTTAAAGATCGTTGTTATCCCCGCTATTTATACATGCCTCATCTACTATCATCTCGCCTTATTATATGATAAGTTATTCGTTCACAAGCATATCTTATTATTATAAGCCTCTAAAATGAAATCTTTAACAACTCTCACTCCCTTTATTACCGCAGTCTCAGCTGCCGACCCCTACCTCTATATTAATAAAAACTGCAGTGGCCCAGCTACATGCTGCAATGGTGTCAAGCCCAAGACTTGCCGCAACACGGATGCCAACGGAAGTCCCTATCTATTTTGGGTTGTCTTTTTCCAAAGCGCAGGCCCTGGAGTATACAGGTTAAATCAGGAAGTCCCTCTCAGTCTGTTGCTCTGTGGTATCAACCCGGGCGAACGTACAGTTCTGTTCTTATTTTAGCCGATGGGAGTCAGTATGAGCTGAGTGGCCTCGGCGACGACGAATACAAGAATATGTAGTTTTTCCGTGATGCGAGATTAAACGGCAACATGAGTCTTCCCTCGACTAGCATTGACAATGGCGTCAAGGCAACCAAGCCCGATAATATACCCAAGAAGTTCAAGAACCTTTTAACTAAGATGAGACACACTAATGTAGTACGAAATTTCTTAAAGAGGTCATCTACGTAATCCTCGATTTCTGTATCTTTGTTTTTGTGATTATTGTAGTTGAATTTTATGCTTGTTATACTTTCAACAATATTATCAAGACTTGCCATTCTTGTCAGCAGTATTCTCTGCGCTCTAATCTACACCTGGTGCTATTGAGACATTATATGACTCGTGCTGGACGAATTCAAACTCATGAGCAAGTCAGCCTTTCAGATAATTACAGACTGAAACAGTGTTCCAGCAAATCAAGTGATCAGACGGATATGATCTGTTAAAGTGGAAGGTCACTGGAGCTCTAACCCTATTCAGGTTCCTTATCCCCGCAAACGCAACCAATCACTTTAGCTTCCGCGGGTTATTTTCCTGCTTAGTTAGGTCCCATTGACAAGGATATTAGGCATAAAATTGTCCCGTCGACAATGTAACCCTTTGATAGGTCACGGTATCCAATCATGTTTCAATTCCTCCAAGTCTCTAGTTCAATAGGTCACCGAGAGATGAAGGGTGACTCTGCTTTGAATCACCTCTTGGCGGGTTAGACGCCTTGTAGCAAGATGTCCCAAAGTAAGGAGCATATTTTAGAAAAGGTGTCGCGTGCCGATGTGAGTTCTTAGATCATTCTAAGTATTTGATGGGAAGTGACGATATCACTGGACTAGCGCATTAGCATTGTGACAAGCTGTAAGGTACCCGTGGCAGGTTGGCAGTAGCAGGGCAAGTAATTCAATGGTATAAGCCGTCCGTGATCCATGGCGACAGCACCATAAGATGCGACATATAGCTAGGATTATACGCCGATGCCGTCGTGCATTGCAGCTTATAAAGATGAAGAGACTTTCTCCCTTGGACTGAGACTTTCTCCTATCATTCCCCAAACAATCACTCAGCCGTCTTGCAAACTACCTTCGACATGTTTTTCAAGCAATCCCTCACCGCTTTGCTCTCCCTTTCAGCTACTACACTTGCCTGGGATGCCCCTGGCTATAGTGGCTTCAACCGCATTTGGCAGGATCCCTTTTCTGGTGCGTCTGGCACACTCCCCGACACAAGCAGATGGAACATCATCGATGGATATCTCAACGTCAACGCCGAACTCGAAGTATATACTTCATCCACTCGCAACGTTCAAAGAAGTGGAGGTGATACCCTCCAGCTTGTTCCCTGGCGCGATGCTTCTGCCCTAAAGGGTTGGACTTCCGGACGCGTAGAGAGCAAATATGTTTTCACGCCCCAGGCAGGCAAAGTTACCCGCGCCGAAGCTCAAATCCGTTTCGGTACTTGCGCTATCAGTAACAAGGCAGGCATTTGGCCTGCCTTCTGGATGCTTGGTGACATTCTTCGTCGAGGCGGGAGCTGGCCGTCTTGTGGAGAGCTCGATATCATGGAGACGGTCAATGGACAGCTGACTGGACACGGAACCGTCCACTGCGACGTGTACCCCGGAGGTATTTGCAACGAAGGAACAGGAATCGGCAACACTATTGGTATCCCAGACCAGAGCTGGCACAACTGGAGGATTGAGATTAACCGAGCCAAGAGCAGTTGGCGGGACGAGACTATTACTTGGTTCATGGATGGACGACAGTATCATCAGATCACCGGTGCTCGAATCAACAATGAAAGAGTCTGGAACACACTGGCCCGTAGCCCAATGTACTTTATTCTCAACGTGGCTGTTGGTGGCACTTGGGCAAGTTATCCTCCAACAAGAAAGAGAAAACATGAACTAATTGAATTGCAAGCCCGGATATCCGAACGATAACACCTGCGATGGTTATGGCAGCATGATGGAAGTTGGATATGTTGCGCATTACTCTACTTAAGGATTGTCTCCCTCTGTATCGTTTTTACAGCTGCTTTCCTTTTTTTTATTTGTTTGAATTGTCTGGTTGAGATTTGTATTTGTATTAGAACTAGATTTCCGTCTATTTCCTCTGCCAATATTCTGTTCTATAGATATCCTCGTTGGCTTCTTTTATTACAAGCCTCCGACTCAGAAATACTCTATATATGTATCCCTTTGCCGGGTGACGTTTGACCAAGTACATTACTCAATTAAGCGGGGCATATTTGAACATTGTGCGCCTACCTGTTGGTAAGTTTCTAAACAGTAGTATATTTAAAACCCCAATATTAATTGTAAGAAGTTAGTATTAGTTATATTATTGCTACGCGTCAACGGCTCACGATGCGGGTTTTAGCCTTCCTTCGAAATGGGCAAGTAGGCAGGGAGCATTTCACAAGAGGGATATTATCTACGGTCTACATGAGCTGAGTGGTTCATACGAACTGTATATTCCATTCTAGACTTCTTAACTAAAGATACAAAAGTTCTTAATGAGAGTATAAGAAGAAAAGGTATACAAGTAATAATCATTACACTAATTCCAACCAAGAAGTCTGCTGAGTGATATTTCTTTTTCCTCAGAGATTCAAATGAGGGGATGAGTAGGTGAAGGAGTGAGGTACTGTATCAATACAGTGGGTGCAAGTGTTGGTCTTGCAGAATGAATGTCTCGGGCCCTTCCATCCCAGATTGAGAACTAAATGAGGGCATCGTTTGCATCAAGCAAAGGAATGATGGGTCTCATCGAGAGACCATACTTGAGCGTGTCATGTTGGAAAATGAGACCCTGAAAGCTTCGTAGAGGCATAGAAGATCTACCCCTAGTCTCGCTTGCCATCAGGGGCGGGATAATGGTTGTCGGGCCTGCGATCGGGCTTGTGGTCGGGCTGACGATCGGGCTTGTGCTCTGGCATGGGGTAAGGCTTGTGATCAGGCTTGTGATCAGGCTTGTGATCAGGCTTGTGATCAGGCTTGTGGTCGGGCTTGTGGTCGGGCCTGGGGTAAGGCTTATGGTCAGGCTTGTGATCAGGCTTGTGATCAGGCTTGTGATCGGGCTTGGGATAGTGAGGTGGCTTGTGCTCCGGCTTAGGATGGTAAGGCTTGTGCTCCGGCTTGGGATAGTAAGGCTTGGGATGATAAGGCTTTGGCTCAGGCTTGTAGTAGTGAGGCTTTGGCTCGTGGTATACAGGCTTTGGCTTGTGATAAATAGGCTTTGGCTCATAGTACGGCTTGGGCTGAGGCTTGGGATGATAAGGCTTGGGCGGATGATAGTCAACCACAGGCTTTGGCCCAGGGCAGACTGGCTCAGGGCATTTGCAGCCGGGATTGTAAGGGATCAGAGTCCATTCACCGCCATTCTTCCTTTCGTAGTACTGGTATTCGACGTGCCCACCGCGCTCTTCAAGAACCGGGGCAGCTAGAGTGCCAGTGGTCAGAGCCAAGAGTGTGACAGCGGATAGCTTCATGGTTCCGAGTGTGCAATGAAGACACACAGGTTAAAAGAATGTTGGGCCTCTTGAAAGAATGAAGAAGGATGTTGAGCACTTGGTAAAGTGAATGATGGATAGTGAGTGATAAAGAAAGTGATGAAGAGATGCGCATCGCTCCCTTTTATGTATTTTTCCACCTCTGATAAAGGCTCAAGTAAATATGAAGAGATTGTGTTTTTTGAGCTCTCATCGCGAAACATTCGCAGATGTTCTGTGCAAGAACCACTTGCGCCCAACGAAGTTGGAGCTCGCTCCACCTTTCACAGAAAGTCAAACGCCATACGTCCTGCTTATCCTGCTTTACGGAAATAGTGGTGTGGTCAGCAAATGTATGACACAAGCATCGATTTCTCTTCTCGGTAAGGAACGAACAAGAAACCCCATAAATTATACTTTGCATTTTGCGATGTGGGCCAGAGAGGAGCTCAGCTTGTCTTGGAATTGAACGGAGTGTACCAAATCCGACGTCTTGCAACACCATCTTTACAGTGATGCATGTATTAACTTGAGCGGCTTGCCGAAATATCGGATGTGGGGTCATGGACTTATGGCAAGGCGTTCAAGCTATTGAATGCAATGTTCTGTCCGGTAGTTTATACAAGAAGCTGGCTAGTCCAGTGGCCAGCTCCAGTGAAGCGACATCACTTCCACTCATTTGCATTAAAGATTGAAGTGAAGGGGGATGATAATTGGCATCATCAACAGTGAGAGAGTGAAAACAGAAAGGATGACCGGAATAGACATGCCGCTCAAGGTTGACAAAAGCGAGCCAGGAGACCCTGGCCTCGCGACTGCACCATCAGCACAAAAGAACTCTGCCATTCTGATAATGTCTTGGAGTATATCAGAAGGGACACTCCGTCAGTCTACGGTAGATTCATCCAGCATGAGCCCTACCGTCACCTCATTTCATTTTGCCATGACATGTCCCCGCATTCTCTAACCGAGCTGCCGGATAATCATCTTCAAGCTTTTTTTTAAGCTTTTGTATTTATGGATCATTGTGATATGTCTTGCATGCCTAGCTTGGTCTGGCCTGGCCTGGGTTGGCCAAGCTATTAGTTGTGGCTACAAGCTCTGGAATGCGGGTAGTAAGCCAAAACGGGTCTCAACGTTGGATCATCATACCGTTGAAATGCCAAAGCTAATCCCGCATTAGCATCAGCACTAAGACAAATCCCCTCATCATCGACACTGTTGGGCCATCGACTAAACTGCAAACTGAATTCTCAACAGGCAAACTGGCCAAGATCATCAGGAGCTGATTGCCTAGCTTCCAGTGCCGAGAGGATCTAGACTGCAGAACGGACTCTGACCCAAGCGAACCTGGAAGCGGTGCGGTTTAGGTCTAGATTTTTTGATCAGCGCAGACCTCGTTCGTGGTTTGCAATTGGTTCGATTCTCGTTGACGAACTACCCGGGTGTCTCATGAACTGCAAATCTTTCGTTGGACCTGACATATAGCTGCAGGTAAGCACAGCAATTATCCCGGCGTCATTGAATGCCATTGGCGTTGGATATTGAGAGATATCAGAAAGTTTATAGTCTCCCTTGCTGTTATCAAGAATGGTGGGTTACCATGGACTCGATGTGTTACAAGATACAACCGCGGTCTCTGGTAGTGTCTGTCAGATTGGCGCCCCCGTTGAGTGATGGGACGATGATTGCTGAATCCATAATACGAGTTCGTAAACGCTAACTCAGTCAATAGTCTGATGCTTTAACCTTATCGCTATGCTTAAGGTTTAAGCTCAGCTCCCCACCACGACCATACATATATTTGCCAGTTGGTTACCTGTCTAGTAGAACTTTCACTTTATCCTCCGATCGCACTACTATTGAGCCGCCCTCTGGCTCCTCGTTCAACCGCGTTGACGTCGATGCACCAGCCTCTGAGTGTGGGCCAATAGTCTATTATTCTAAAGGTTGTCACGCACTTACCTCACCAAGCATCGAGTAGGACTTGACTATCACACTGCATATACGAACAAACCTTCGTAAAACTCCCACGAGAGGCATTATTTGCGCAATTTTGACAAGTGATAAACGGTAGCTGTAGTGAAGAAGCGAAGATGGGCTACTGGTCAGGACAGAGAGGATCGTGATAGATGTGCCTATACCATAATTATTCCCTGACTAACTGAGAGAGACTGATTCGGATAGAGTTTCAATAGTGTGCGCGTCAAGGGACAGGTTTACTGTAGGAAGTGTGGAATTTCTCGATGCGAGCTGCACTGTCACCTCAAGGCGGAGCGGAGCATCTGATTTCAGTAAACAGTACTAATTTATTGACTAATGCTCGTCTTGTAATCGAGCAGTAAAATCTGAGAGCTACTTTTGAGAAAGTTGAATACCCTTTCGGCCCAATAGATGGCCTGACACTGAAGCCCTAACCCTGAACTGGGTCGAAGTATTCAGCTACAGGTGTGGCTTATGGCGGGTCTCGTGACCTCTTCTCATCGTGCTTTCAATGGTCCCTCCGTAGCATCGTGAGGCTCAGCTTTCCAACAAAAAACCTTCAACTAGTGAGTTAAACCTCTCATAATTCTCCCAAAACATGAAATGACTACCTTTCTCGGCAGTTGAGAAGGTATAACCCTTAGCACCAGGGATCTGAGAAGTGACCCAGTTAACTCCAGCAGCAGGTAGAATACTTATTTCTCCCGAAATAACCAGTGTGGGAACGTTGATTCGCGGAAGCACATCACTCCAATCATTGAAGGCGTGGTCAATCAGCAGCGCAGCGGCGTCTTTGTCGCTTATCTTCCGGTTCTGCTCCATAACCCATTCAAACTCTTCTTCTGTAATAGAGCTTGAGAACATGCCCCTGATTAAAGGAAGCAAGACATCTGCCATATTGTGCGCAGTATTGAATACAGCGTCCGGGGTAAATATTGCTGCGCGCTCTTTATCCTTGCCCTCAGGCCAATTGGGGTCACCGACGAGAGTCGTAGGCTCGTCGACCAACACAAGTCGTTTGACAAGCTTGTGAGAGTCGGGATATTGGTCCCAGAATGCCCAAAGGACACAACATCCCATCGAATGAGCGACCATGGTAAGGTATTTGAGTTGAAGTGTTCTCAGAAGGTCGTTCAGATCAGCAGCGAGCCGGCTGGTGCGATAACCAAAGGTGGGCTTTTCGGAATCGCCGTGCCCTCGCATATCGTATGTCGTGACTCTGAAACCGGCCTTAGCAAAGTGCAGTACCTGCTTCTTCCATTGCGCAGCTGTCTGACGCCAACCGTGGAGAAAGAGTAGCGGTCTGCCGTTTTCTGGGCCTTGCTGGCTATAAGCCAGATTGCAATTATCTCCGGTTGTAATATATGCGGTCTTGACTGCAGATGCAGTAGCATCGGCTTGCGGCACTGGTAACTCCATGACGGGGTTCAAGACGAGTACCTATGAATTTGAACTCAAGACACAAGTTAAAACAGGAAATAAGATAGCGAGGCAAGGTCTTGAAAGTAAAGGAAGAGACCGACGAATAACTAACTGCTCTGACTAAATACTTAATATATTGATCTCACTGTATAACCAAACTGTCTATCCGAGCCGGTCATACCAATACTCATGCTGAGTGTAGAGCTTCAATTGGCTGGAGATCTGCTAGAAGAGAAATTCCCTAGATAGATGAAAGGGTTACTTGGATAAATCGGCCGATCACCACCGGGGCCAATGTGGTCGCCGCTTACCTGAAAGCGAACTAGTGGAGCCCGGTCTGCAGATGTAAGCTTCCGCCGTGGGATTATTTCCGAAACAGTATTGCCGGTTATCCGTTTCAGTGGGCCAGTAACCTAATCAGTCGAGGCCGCTGATGCTGGACCTCATTGAACGGTAGCATTGCATCAAATTAAACACCGCTGATGTGAGGTTCGTGTCTGGACAATTCATCCAAACGGGAGTAACACTCAGTCAGCACTTCATTCGATGATCAGTAAGCCTTGATGAAGTATGCATATTTGCATTATATAAATATATAGTCCTTAAATTAATAAAAAGCTCATTATTAATTACAACTACTTAACCTTGTCAGTTACAATGAAGATCACCTCCTTCCTTACTTCAGCCCTGGTTGCGGCTGTTGCCGCTCGCGACACGATTTACCTTGTCAACTCCTACAAAGGTAACGAGATCTCCAGTGGTATGGCATACTATGCCGACGGCCACGAGCAAAACGGGGTATCGCGCCCCGATGACTATGTCGATGTGCTTCATGGAAGCAATGTACACTGGGAGGGTCAAAATGTAAAGGGTAAGTTGCCTTTACTATCTCGGATTGAGCTAGATACTGACCCCACCAAGGTACTTTCAGTAGTGGTGTATCTTTCACGTCTAGCATCTTTGCAGATGCTGGTGGCAAGCAAGGAAATTCTTGGTCTGGTACGGGTACAAATGGATTTCATACGTACAACTGCTACAAGGGTACTGGTCCGACTGGCAAGCCGTGGGTGTTGTATATTGTGGATGGCTGGACTGTCAATGTTATCTACTGGTGCTGGCCTTTTAATTAAGATACTTAGCTAAACTGTGGTTCTCTACAGATCATTCACACAAAGTAATTAGCATTTATCTGAGAGTTAAGATACTATAAGATACATTTTACACATTAGCTTCACATAGCAATAAGAGATCGTCTTTATAAGACCTATGTGGTGCACTTGTTAGATACAAGCACCTGCTTTAAAATAGTCGCGAACTGCTTTATTAGCGAGAAGCTGGTATTTAACCTCTGTATGCATCTACACATGTAACTTAGCGTGGTTTCATAAATCGCTGGAGTTTTATCCTAGGGTAGCTGAAACTGTTACAGGTTCCCCAGTGTTAAGATGCCTTAGAGAACCTGAAACTAACTACTGGGTCCCCCGGTCCATCTTCAAACTACTGCCTTTAAGCATTAACCTTAAAACACAAACCCTGAAATAACAGACTTACTATACCGCTCTATATATAGCGACTTGACCGCAATGATCTCCTTTTCACTGTACTTCCTTGACTAGTCGTCGTCTCTCAGTTTTGTTATCTGCCTAGAGCTAGCTCGTATCATTCGCTCCATTCCAATTACTACCAGATCGAGCAGCGCTCTCTTTACCTTCGTCAACTCTAAGTTCGGTCCTTGCCTAATCCAATTACCAACCCCTCACTCAACATGAAATTCTTCACCCAGACCGCCTTGGCCCTCCTTGCCACCACGGCGCTCGCACATCCCCATGTCTTCCAGCGTACGCCGCAGCGTAACGGCGATTCCACCAGCCGAGGAGGCATCACCCAGACCTTAGAATGCACCAGGGCGGAACAGGACGGCACTGGTAATGTCAACCGCGTCTCTTGTGAAGACGGCGAGGACGGCTGCACCTGTATCGACCGTTTCACCGAGATTCGTTGCACGCGCGTCCTCCAGGACGGCACCGGCAATACCAGCATAGAGTCTTGTGACCAAGGGGAGGAGGGCCAGGACGGTTGCCAGTGCGGCGAGACTGTCGCCACTAGGCAGGAGGAGAGGTGCACTCGAGTCCTCCAGGATGGCACCGGCAACACCAGTATCGAGTCGTGTGATAAGAGCGAGGAGGGTGTGGATGATTGCCAATGCAGCATAACGACAGCACTTGTTGACAGCCTGCCATAGGTGCGGCTTTACTATACCATATGTCCATGCATTTGAATTTCTACTTGTTAATTGAAATATAACCCTACATTCAAGTAAAGTCAGCGATTGGTAGAACAGATCAATGATTACCAACTATGACGTATCTCTGCAAGACCTATGGATGTTGGTAGCTGACTCGCTCGGTTATAAGTAAAGCATGCTACACGATCATGCCGATCCAAGAAAGAACCAGCTCCTCAATGTGGGGTAGGATTCTGCCTGAATTCTCGGTTAATTGGATTTCATGTATTAGAATGATATATATACGCGATGGATTTTAAAATAAACAACAAACAGTCAATCCACCACTACTTTCTTAACTTAAGCATTCGTGAGCGCAGTTTCTGTCGGTAACAATCATGAAGATCTATTTTTATGTTCTTTGGCTTTTCTCAATCCGTCTATCACTAGGAGCAGATATCTACATTGATCGGAAGGGACGGGATAGTAACCCCGGGTCAGCCGAGAAGCCCGTGAAAAGTTTTAAAAAAGGACAAGAGCTTGTTCATGAACTCATTCCGTCGGCGAAAGATGATATCACTGTCCACCTTGGCCCAGGTACATGGGTGATCGATGAGCCTATTGTATTTAACGCTGAAGACTCCGGTACCAGTAGCTCTATGGTTACATGGTCTGGCTCGGACACTGTTATTTCTGGAGGTTATAAAATCAGCAATTGGACGGAAGAGAAAGACGGAATATGGTCTGCTTCCGTGCCCGAGGGTACTAAATCCCGTCATCTTTACGTGAACGGGCTGGCTGCTCAGTATGCCAGACGCCAGATCCATAATCGGACGGACTTTGAGTACACCAAAGTCGGAATGACCTGGAACACCTCGGATTATGATTGGATCATGGAAGTCCCGGGCATTGAGAACGGCGAGCTTCGTGCTATCAATTCTTTTACCGATCGGATTGCGCTGATATCAAAGGTTGGAGATCGCGTGCTTGAGATGAAGAAGGATATATGGGCCAACCAACTCATTGGCTATGATCAAATCGCAGAGCCGTTTTGGGATGGAGGTGTCTGGATCCAAAACGTCAGGGCCCTGCTGACTGTTGGCGGTCAATTCTATCTTGACAGCAATCAGTCGACTGTCTATTACAAGCCATTAGACCACGAAGATATGACCACCGCATCTGCCTTTCTCGGCACCCAAGAGGTTCTCATGGTCATTGGAGGAACGTACCGAGAGCCCATTCACGACTTGCACTTTAATGGAATCACCTTTAAGCACAGCACCTGGTTGAGACCGGATACCTATGGATATATCGATCAGCAGACCGGTGGTCACATGGGAAATGATAGTCTGTGGCCCAATTTTGAAGCTTCGAGGCCCCACTGGTGGCAGATGCCCAGCGCGATCCAGGTCAGTGCGGCATACAACATCACACTAGAGTCTTGTACTTTCCGCGAGCTCGGCGCTGGAGGTATCGGGGTTGCTAATGACAAAAACGCACACTTCACGGGCGTCGGACTTGGAGCAAACAACATCTGTATCGAAGACAACTATTTCACGCAGGTGATGGGCAATAGCATTACCGTAGGTGGTATTCAAGCTGACGCACATCACCCATCCCAGCCTGAAATGCTTGTGACGCACATCCACGTGTCTAACAACATCTTCAATAACAATTCGGTTCTCTGGTCATCCACTGTCCCTATTCTCTTCACATATACTGAGTTCTCTTCTATCACCCACAACGACATTTACAATCACCCGTATAGCGGTATTTGTCATGGCTATGGTACGTTCTGTAACGCCCTTTGCGAGTATAGCTGCTAACGAAGACCAGGCTGGGGAAGCAATGACGAAGGAGGTAGTCCGGAATACGTTAAGCGCGGTCTTTACAATTATCAGCCCCTCTATGACACCCCCACCGTGATGAAGAATAATCTGATTGAGGGAAATCTAATTCACAATTTCGGCCGATCCCATACTGACTTTGGAGGCGTCTACACATTATCTCGGTCACCGAACACAACCGTGTCGTCCAACTTCATTTATGAAGCAGGGTGGCAAGCCTTATACCCCGGTATGTATTGTAAATAGTCCCTCATATTATGTACTGATGCTTGGAACAGATGAAGCTTCAAGGAATATAACATGGTTTAACAATCTTGGCTTCACCTCTGGCAAATATTATGCGCCCAATGATTGGATTCCAGAACAGCTCACCGGGTGTAAGTACACCGTTCATAAATAGCAGAAAGTGCTAACAGAACCAGGGAACACTGTGATTGATAACTGGGGCAAGCTTGGAGTCGGGGGTAATGAGGTTCTGGATGGGTTCCCAAACCATTCCGGAAGACGCAACAACACGTTTCTGCGCAATTATCTGGCGACTGGTGTAAACGAAACAAGTCTTATTGCACAGAGGGCTGCGTACCGTGCAGGTGTTATTCCGTCGAAACGCAAAGGAAGACCTGTCACAAACGATCCAGATATGGTAGATGCCTACCTGAGTGTGAAAGTCAGCGATGAAATTGTCGCTCTGAACCTGACCAACTTTGACGACGTGGACTTCAAAGACGTTGTCTTTCGCATCGCGGGTCCTGGTGTCGCGTTCGAAAACAGATCTAGCCCCACATCAATCCCAGCTGATGGTTCTGCGATCGCTGTATATGCGTTCTCTGGTTCGCCGAAGGGCAATGCTACGGCTAGAGTGAGCTATGTGAACCCAGGAACCGGACCATCTGGTAGAGAGAGGATGATCTCTTTCTCATTACTGTAAGGTATTCATTTCAGGACTACCATCACTGTTTGTCTTAACCACAGAAATTGAATTATCTGTTATAGAAGTCAATTTGCGTAGCACCGCGAGTCAGCACGGGACGCTATTAATAGTTCCTTTCTTTAAAGGTCATCTGCTTTATTGAAACAAACCATCGTTCAAGTAATTGTTTCAAATACATTACAGGGACCTGTAGTACAGTGACTTGGAGTGAACTTCTGTCATTCCTCTTGCAGAGATCCATCAACGCAAATCCCAATGGGCTCACGTCTACATGTACTAACGGCTAGATTGGGCATAGCACTTATAAGCGGGTTTGCGGCGACCAGGTGTATCCTGTATTTGTGGGTGATTGTGCAAGGGTGTCTGTGGGTTCCAGGATTGTATGCCTGATCGGTCCCCATTGAGCTATTCTGGTAGATTCAAGGGCAACATAGATCAAAGTAAGTTAATTATTGTTTTTACCAAAGGTGTATATTATCCGGAGACTCCCGACACGTCTTTCTACTCACATCTGCAGGTGTCAAATAATCTACCTTTCCTTGTTGCCTGAATCCTGATCGGTCTCTTGCCGGTGCTGTTGGCTTGGCATCCTTGGCACGGCCGAGGCCGTTCACACCCCACTTACAACCAACCACAAGATCAAGTATGGTCCTCATACGCTAGGGTATATATTTGGCGACGGTCCCGAATTCATCTACTAGAATCCTATCCACTCTGTCCCGCGATTGTCAATTGCAACCATGAAAACCACCACTGCCAATTTCACGCTTTTTCTCGGCTTCCCAATGGTCGCCGCAACCTTCAGCATGGGGGACCCAGCAATCAGAGAGGGTCGTGTCTCCAAGGCCTGCGGCAGAGCTCTGGAAGCTGACATAGATTGCCACCATTACATCCCCGATATGAACTTGAATTATTATCAAAAATGGGTTGGAGATGTGGAACTAGCCAACAGAATCTGCACTGACACCTGCTCTGATTCGTTTCGAAGCTGGAACGATACCGTGACCAAAGACTGTGCTGCGGACATGAACGACTCGGATCATATTGGTAGAATCACCCCAGGTTCGTTGATGTTCAGCATCAGTCTGATGTGGCAAGGCTTCAACGAGACCTGCGTCAAAGATGATGAGTCAGGCCGTTACTGCCAAGGTCAGTAGGTACAGTTCGCTTGAAGAGGACAGAACTAATTTCATCGATAGAGATTCTCGACGGCTTCTCCAAAATTAATTATCATCGCCACGATAGACCTCTGGAAGAGCTTTGTCATCCCTGCTACGGCAAGGTTCTTGACATAATGTCAAAATCTTTCCTATGGTACAATCCGGATGACTATATTTTCCCGGGGTCTACGAAAGGCGAGTACTGGATACGTGAGCTTGAGCTCGTCCATGAGAAATGTGGCAACTCGGATAGCACTGTCACTGTGTCGGACTCACCAACAGAGACTGCGACCTACGACACCGAAGGACCAACCCCAGATGGTCCAACAGATCCGGGAATCCCTTCTGACTGCACCTTCTTCCAAACAATCAACCAACCCCTCTACGACTGCCGGGGATGGATCAGCGACTGGGCTTTGACGGTAAAACAGTTCGTTGAATATGTATTTGGCCACTTTATCGTTTGATAAAAGACTCCACTAACAACTTCTAGAATCCAACCGTCGATGGTGACTGCCGTGGCATTAAACTTGGCCACTCGTACTGCGTCGAGGTCAACAATGGGCGTCCACGAAAAGAGCGCCCGCCTCAGGTGACGAGCAGTCAGGTCGTTGAGCCGCAATCCAGTGAAGTCAAAGGTTCCAATTTTAGTTGGGATACTTTGAAGGATGGATACATGGATCTTTATGAAGCTGCCAAACAAGTGGTGCTAGGACAAAGCTGAGAGTTCATGGTGTAGAGAAGTCCCAGGGAAAAGATGAATACTGAAAGTCCATGATATAACTGGGGTGAATCTGACCTGTGTCATGAATATTTGAACTCAATTGGCGTAACAGACGAAATAATCTGAGTCACGTTGTGAAAGGTTCGACGAGCTGTCTGGCTATGTTCGTTTAGCAACTATTCTTTTAGCAACTTAGGCTTGAGATTCGGACCGCTCTCTAATACCTCAGGCAGGGAAATCTCATCAGTTGATATAATGATGTTGAAGGTTTTACTTGAATAAGTCACACTTCCGAATCGTTACAATTGTTACTTGGATACGACCTTCCGAAATATCAACAATGCCGACTAGTCGGGCTTAATATCAATATCTATCTTGAAGTAACAGTGAAACATCGCATTTGCTTCGGGGACCTTTATCCGTAGAATCTATCCACATATAGCTCTAATGCCAGGATGTTCAGAATAGCTGAGGCTGCCAAACTGTTCCGACCGCAGCATAATCCGTAGAAGGTGACTCTTTAACCAAATCATAGCCTTGGCTCGCAGTCCGGGTCCACATTGGAGGATCCCTCTTTACAGGGCGTAGGTGCAGTCGCACGGCTCTCAGTACACCAGCCTCGTTCGGTTCCCAACAATTGAGAGTGTACTTGAGCGTTGTCCTCTGTCTCACAGCCAGCCATATTTGGAAAGGTATTGCTCCCACAACAGTTAATCCAGTAAGTACAGCAGTGACGTAGTGATTTCGCTTGCCAATAGCACCACTGATACCTTGCGGCGTTCTTGTAAACCCTCCTCGTTGCCTCATCACCGTCTTCTTGTGCTGTATTGTCATCTTTCCACAATGACTGTACCATTTCGGCGAGGGAGCTAAAAGACCCCACTCGTCTGGTCCTAGATCTACCATGTTGTCTGGTACGATTTGATATGCGGACCTTGGACCGTCGGGAGGCATTTTCCAGGCGAAAAGCGACTCGTCATTCTTGGCGATCAGAGCATCCTGGAGTCGCAAAAAAGCTCCTTTGCCTTCTCCATACTGGACAGGCAAGTGGAGGTTGAAAATCCCATATAGACTGTATGCAATATCCTCTTCCCGTGTTATTTCGCGATTTGCTGCCCAGCTCATCTTGGCTGCAATACAGGCTACTCGGAAGTCTTCCTGGCCAGTCAGATAGTGTGCACTAATACCAGTAACGTCCTCGATAGCTTCTGCCAAGTCTCCCTTCGATCCAAGATAATTCCAGTCCGCATCATAGAAAAGGAGCTTCCGCGGTGCGAGAAGCTCCTGCAATGTCCATCCACGTGTGAACCATTTCGACATATCACCTGTCTCGAAGCTCCGAAAGACTTGAGATCCAACCTGACTTTCCGGTGTTCGGCGCACATCAGAAAGATATGTCAAACAGACCACAGCTTCGCTATACCATTTGAACATTGAGTTAATCGATTCAGATAGTTCAGAGCTGTCAGACTTATTGATACAGCAGTTGTCGATCCAAATCCACTGGAGTCCTTGTTTTCTGGCGGTGATGCAAGCACCGAGAATCTTATCCAGTTGGGGCAAAGCGTGACGATGCTTGGTGTGTCTCAATTCTCGGGCGAATTTTCCAATTTCAGAGAGTAGGATCTCATTAGCTCCCCATCGGTGAGATAGAATGGCATAGCCTTGCTCTTTGAAGTTTATCTGAGTACCGGCATGTAGCTCGAATGTATTGATGTTCATGCAGCGCATTAAAGCCATCTCGCTGGGTGTCTGGGTGTTAAATATAAAGACAACAGCTTGTTCAGGGACTGCTGCTTGAAGAGAAATAATAAAAGTAGACGATCGCGCATGACCTAGAGATACTGTGGTTATTGAATGAGGTAGTTAAAGATTTCAATCTGGACTGAAGTAAATATACCACCGACAACAGGGGGGCTGTAATCCGTGTCCTACGGACTTCCCTGTAAGCGATTGCAATTGTAACCTGAGTACTCCGTACATATTGTACCGTCTGTTTGCTATATTTAGCTCGCTTGCAACATACGCTAGTATATAACGCTATCCTGTTTGGGCTCGTTAGCGCGAGGATCCCGTGTACCTGCTGAATACAGATAATAAAGCACATTGAAGTACCCCGCACTCCGTACTTTAATCTGCCTTACATTTTCATCCTCTACACCTTTCCACTTAGCTATGGTATTATATTTTCAAGAGGCTTCCAGATCGTTAGCAAATATATCCATCTCGCTATCTGAATTCGGCATCTGCTCATATGCTCTGCGGCGTGTGTAAAGATGGACTTGAGGGAATGTGGGATCCGAGTCGCAGCAAGCGGCTGATCCTCCTCAAAGACTTCAAGGCCGATGAGAACAGCGACACTGGGGAGTCTCTAAACCGGAGTCATGCTTGTATGTTAAATCAGTCTTCTTCGATCTCCGAACTATATGTTAACCGCCTCTCGCGATCAATCAGCTGGTGCAAGTGACGTTTCGCGCTATGAAGTCGACGAGTACGTATACGGTCACCATAAGACCAAGGCTTCATTCTTGGCCTCGATTCGAAAGGGCTGCGCCATGTGCAATCGGTTCTCCCCGCTGCAATCTGATGGCAATAGTTCCAGGCTGGAGAGTCTCGGCTACTTTTCGGTATTCTATGTTTCTTTCGATCAACAACATTCCGTTGATGCGCCTTTCATCATGTTTGTTGAAGAGGAAGAATCTTCAGGGGGGTTTAAGTTTGTTCCACTCAGAGGTGAGACCTGCATCCCAACCACGAGTTTCACTTTTTGTGCTTTCTGGCTTAGGAACATATGGACTAACTATTCCCTCGCCCCATGCTAGACCCGAAAGGCGATAACAACATGAACTTCAGCTTTGGACCGTCCAACCATGATTCCAAGGCATGGGCCATCATGCAAACCTGGATGAAGACATGTTTCGAGTCTTATGCGCAATGTAAGCTGCCGAGAACGTCTCCCTCCTATTGACCTGATCACTAGTCCGGGCATCGTTCTGCCAGAACGATGGTTAGGGTTAGCAAGATTGTGTAGAGATCCGGGGTTATGTACAGACTATTCCGCTAGAACAATATTCCGCTAGGATAACGGCGATAATTAGAGATAATATAGACTCCTTACAGTTAACAGGGAATTAACCCTAAATGCTAAGAATAGTTAGTAGAGAGAGCAAGTAAGAGAAATAACCCTAAGTAAACTTAAAATTAAGGGATTAATAAAAATATATACTTAGAAGTAAGTATATTACCCTACTAGCAAAAGAAGATAGTTTAGAATAGAGTTTAATTATATATTACTATAGTAATAGTAAAAAGTAAGTTTATATTTATATTAATAAACGAAAGGTATATTAACTCTATAAAACAGCAAAAGACTATAACTAATCTATCTACTAACTAGTAAATATTAGCAGTATTACTTTTAACCTAGCTATATAATTACTATAAAAGTAGAGGACTAACTAAGTATACTATAATTAATAGTACAGTAGACTATATAATCTAGCTATATAAGTAGCTTTAGATATTAGTTTATCTACTCTGTAAGGCAGCTATTAAGCTAGAACTAGCTTAGGTAAAGTATTATTATTGCAACTACTATAAGACTACTAGATAGCTACTGCAAAATATTATTACATTTACTAAATTATTCTTACTATTAGGATAGTAACCTTAAGAACTAAAAGACCTAACTAATAAGAATATAGAGCTACCTATAGATAGAAGCCCGCCTATCCCTAAACTAAAGATATATAAGGGATTTAGCTGCAAAAGCTATTAATTTCTAACCTATAATAGTTAGAATTTTACTACTTATAAGACCTGCAAGAGGTACTATAAGCTGCAGGTTAGTAGTAGGGGAGGGAAAGGTTAGGTAATAGTAATACTCTAGTTACTACGTAAGGCTCTATATATAAGATACTAGATTATTAATCTAGCCGCTATATAGGCTAATAGCAGCAGTAATAAGAGTAGTAATAGTAGTAGTAATAATATAGCTAAATAAGGGAATAGTAGTAGTAATACTAATACTAATACTATACTACTATAGACTATCTAGGTATACAAAAAGGATCTAAAGGAAGTAAAGGTAAAATAAAGATGCTAAGTAAAGGTACTAGGTAAAGTTAAAACTAAGTTAAGATAGGTATAGTTTATAAAATAATTAGTATACTTACAGTAAAAGGATAAACTAATACTATACTAAGTAGGACTATTACTAGCTTCTACTATAGCTAAGTAGTAAATATAGCCCTATAAGTACTATAAAGTAAACTAAAGGCTATATAAGTTAACTAAGAGCTTTTAGCGCAAGCTTAGCTATTATATAGAAAGACTAGATAGAGTACTAAATAAAATGCTTAAGTAGCTTAGCAGTATTAACCTAACTAAGCTAGTATTAACCCTGTTTAGCTAAAAGCAGTAGTTAGATATAATAAATAGGTATAGTATATACTAACAGTAGTACTTATACTATTATATCTAAATCTAGCTACTTAGGTATAATAGAGCTAAGATAAAGTATAGTATTTAATTTATAGATAAGTAGTAGAACTTTTTAACTAATATTATATAGTAACTTAATACTATTACTAATAAGAAAAAGAAGTAGTAAGGGTAGAAATAAGTTATAAAGGATAGTAAAGAAGGTAATAGTAATAGAGGGAGTGCTAAGGGTAGAGAAAAGGGAAAAGAATAAGACCCTAATAAAGAGGTACTTAACGTAGCTATCTTTAACTTTTGTATTAAGTTAATTAAGCAGAAGCTTAGGAGAAAGCAGTATTATAACCTACTACTCTACTTTATAGCTATACTAGGTATTAAGGAAGATAGTATATAGGTTCTATTCTATATATATACTTAGTTTCTTACTAGCTTCTTATAGTATAGGAGGATTCTAATATTAAAGTACTTC